TATTATCTTGTTCACTATAATAGAAAGATATATACTTTAAAACTTTTAATAGCATAAATGATCAACTAGACAAGATCTAAAAATAAGTATATGTATACTAGTTTACCAGTTTGAAATCGTCAGTCGACTCATTATTAGATCTTGCACATAAATGACGATTTTTACCAATGTTTAGTGTGTTTTGCCTATTATCTATAAAACTATAATAGATACATTACACACTAAAGAGCAAAACTGATCAGCAAGACAAGATCTATAAATAAGTCACGTGGTCAAAGTCGTTATTCAACACGTAATTGAAGTTCTTGCTCTTTAATGCTTGAATGACGCAGATTTTTACCAATTTTTGCCTATTATCTTAAAAACTATAAAAAGAAAGATAGAAACTTTAAATAACAAAAATGATCAGCAAGAAAAGACCAACAATTAAACAAGTCAAATTTTGCTGATATATGTAAAAGACTCTTTATAGGAGTTTGCCCTTAAATGACAATTTTTTACCCTCTTTAAAAGAGATTTTTGTCATGAATTTTATTCTAGTGTACAATGATTGTTTCCATTCGTGACTGAAGATGGCCATGATGCACATAAATATAGGCGAGCGACACAGGCTCTTTAGAGTCTCTAGTTTCTGTTTTTTTTTTGTAGTTTTGGCAGTTGTCTCAAAAACTATTGAGAGCTAGGTTAAACAAGTAAATCACAACAATAATCAGCAGCACAAAGAGTGTGTGCATATAGAGGTCCTCATTAGCATACTTGCACTTTTTAATCAGGTGAGCAATACAGGCACAGGCATGCCTCTTGTTATATATATATATTTGATATTTTTGCTCACCTGGCCTAAAAGGCCAAATGAGATTTTGCCACCACTTGATGTCCGTTGTCTTCCATCGTAAGATCTTCTCTTAACCATTGAACCATACTTTTGGTGAATGATCCTTAGGGTCTCCAGTATAATGTTTGTTTTTTTTCTAATTTAAAACTGGACAGTTAAAAAAACATGGCCACTATGACTAAAAATAGACCATAAGGGTCAAAATAATTTATGTCTATCTTGTATCTTAAAAACCCCTGAGAGAAAATCTGAAAGTGGAAAAATTTTCAGGATGTCAAGATATACCTACTTCCTTTATTTCGCCAACAATATCAGAGGACTCCTTAAAAACAAGGAATTATTTGAATCTGGAATAATTTTGAATTCTGGAAAATTGATTAGAAATGTATGATGAAAACTAACCCAACTAAATAGGGTTAGCCATGCGTGCATGGCTAAGGTTAATTTTACTTTCACTATCATTTCAGTATGAACTAACTAACCCACCTTAGCCATGCATGCATGGCTAACCCTATTTAGTTGGGTTAGTTTTCATCATATTTTTCTCATCAATTTTCCAGAATTCAAAATTATTCCAGATTCAAATAATTCCTTGTTTTAAAGGAGTTATTCCCCATAAATGACAATTTTGGGCTATTTTATGTTTTTGCCAATTATTTTTAAAACTATGATAGATAGGTAGAAACTGTAAATGCCAGAAGAAATCTGCAATAATTATAAAAGATTACAAAAAATCCAATATGATCGGAGCCATTGGATGACTCTTTAAGGAGTAATTGCTTTAAAATGAAGATTTTGTACTAATTTTAGTTTTTTGCCTCATATTTCAAAAGCCATTATAGATAGGTGGAAACTATAAACAGCAAATGTGGTAAGCAATACAAGATCTACAAAAATGTCAATATTATTGAAACAAGTGGATGTCTTTCGATGACCATTTTTCACAAAATTTTGTTAGTCCACTGATTTGATTAAAAATAGGAAGAATTGTCATTTAAAAAAAACTTGTTACTCCAACACATGTTCATATGCCTGAACAGTGTTAGGAACCTTGTTGGTGCCACATTAGTTTTCTTGTGTTATATCTTAAGTAGATATAAGATGTGGTATGTGTGCCAATGAGACAACTCTCCATCCAAGTCAAAATTTATAAAAGTAAACCATTATAGGTCAAAGTACGGTCTTCAACACGGAGCCTTGGCTCATACCGAACAGCAAGCTATAAAGTTTGTTATTGGAAGAATTTGATGTTGATGGCAGCAGAGCATTGAGACTTTCTAATTTGTATTCACAATTTTGTTTAAACAGGTAGATCTAAAGCTTGATATGTTGTACATACGCCAATGACTGTATAATGTTTAGATATCTTTCAATAATTTTTGTCCTTTGATTGCTGTCTCATTGAAGTATACCTTGCATCTTTGTTTTAATTGATATTGCTAAGAGCTCTAGAATTATCATTACTCATCTGAAATTTGTGTCAACAGTTAACATCAACAATATGTCAGGTGAGCTTGAAAATCAGCAGCAATTGATTTTTTTTACAGAGTGGTATTCCTTGGAAATGTAAATAATTTTGAAAATCCACTTTGTAAGTGCTTTCACACCTACATTTCTTATCATAAAAGTTTCTGCCTGGTTATCATATTGCTTAAGAACAAGTAGTATATTAAAGAGGGATATTGGCTATTCTGTAGCACTGTTTTATTTGTTGTTTTTTTTCCTCTATGAAACAAATGGTCTATATAAAAAGTGGTTTCAAGTTTTTCCACTGTTTTCAATTCTCAAAATGTGAAAGAAAATTTTAAAAAATGTCCACTTTTCAATTCTCAAAATGTGAAAGAAAATTAAAAAAAAATTCCAGTTTTCAATTCTCAAAATGTGAAAGAAAATCAAAAAAAAATTCCAGTTTTCAATTCTCAAAATGTGAAAGAAAATTTTAAAAATGTCCATTGTTTTCAATTCTCATAATGTGAAAGAAAATAAAAAAAAATTTCCAGTTTTCAATTCTCAAAATGTGAAAGAAAAGCAAAAAAAATTTCCAGTTTTCAATTCTCAAAATGTGAAAGAAATTATCATGTGAAGTATTTTGTGATTAGGTTTATTTCTCATAAGAAATTGGCCAATGATAGAAGGTTGTACATGTCTGTCTGGCAGGGTTCATCAGCAGTTTTTATTAAAATTGCCAAATCATAAACCATATATATAATACTTGTATTGATTTTTATTGTATATCAAAGAAGTTGATTCTGATTTTGGTCAATTAAAATATGTGTTTCCTGTAGGATATTTTTTCCAAGTTGCATTCATCTTTTCAAAATGATCAACTGATAATCATTGTAAGTACGATTGATTGATTTTTGGTTGCTTAACGTCCAGTGGTTGGTAATATAAAGCAAGTGCAGCATAATACATAATATCATTACCATACAATTCCAGTGATTTACTTTATTGCTTCATGAGGACAGTTGATCAATTGAACACCTAGTTCTAAGAAACACTAGTCTTAACAAGATTTACTCGCAAAATGATACCCTACCCAAAACATGAAGTTATTGCAAAGTCCATCATTTGGATAAAAAACAAAGTATGAGTTGTATAATCGTATTATATGGTTAAAATTCTGAGACATGTCTATTCAAATAAGGGGTTTAAGAAATGTTGAGGATAAAAAATTCGTAAGGGTTCCGCAGAGCCCAGTATCTCGCCTACTTTTGCTGTTAATCGCAGGCTCAACAAAAATGAGATGAGGAAAAAATTTAATAAAAATATTCCTCTCGATACAATTTTTTTTATTGTAAGAAGCTTATGTCCAAGTTTGGTAAAAATCCAGGATAGTTTATGAATCTAATAAATGTTTTTAAAAAATTTAACTGTATGTAATGTTAACTGGAAGAAAAACTAAGTCCATTTATAAGTAAAATATGGATAAACAAGTACAAAATTTTAAGAAAGTTATTAAAATATTAAAACTTTAACCACAGAGTGAATGTAATGTTTCCTGGGGGAAAAACTAAGTCCATTTATAAGTAAAATACGGAAAAACAGGATTTTTTTTTTTAAATTTACTTCTGGATACTATCTTATGATCATAAACAAGCTTCTGTCCAAGTTTGGTAGAAATCCAGGATAGTTTAAGAAAGTTATTAAAATTTCAAAAACTTTAACCACAGAGTGAATATTTGTGGACACCACCGACGACGACGCCGACGGAATGTAGGATCGCTATGTCTCACTTTTTCGACAAAAGTTAAAGGCTCAACAAAAATGGGTACCCCAAGATAAGTCCATGATTTGCTAAGGAAAATCCAAAATATAATTTGGATAAAAAAAAAAAATTGAAAGTGCTCAATGGCCTTTATTTCTGATTATTGGTCTAAAAGTGGATACAAATGTTTACTGTAGTGTAGAGATATGACAAAGTCCATGTCATGTTAAAGATTGGTCGGCTGGAGAAATAGATATTGTAAAAAGACATTATGTGATTCATATTCTTTCAAAGTTTCATAAAATTCTGTCATGTGGTTCAGGAGCAAGATTTCACTGTCACTATATACAAGCTATAAAAGCTTTTATAAATTCCCATTTGCTAAAAAAAAATTAACATGTCAGTAGTATTGTTTCAATTTTTAAACTGAATTTCATCATACATGCCAGTATGAGATAAATTTGCTGCTTATTTAAGAGAAAACTCTTGTACCAGAAGTCATGTTAAACTTCTTATAAACTAGTATTTGTGATAAAGTAGGTGTTCCAAGTGTACCACATCTCTTATGAAAAATGAAATTCAATTACTGTATTTGGATGTTATGAACATTTAGTATTACACTGCAAATGGTTTTAACAACCTTTCACTTATTAAAGCAATTGCTAAATTTTTTACCAGTTTAGGAGTTTGAAGAGATAAATTCATTCAAACTGCAACTTTGAAAAAACTTTCCGCCACAAAGTGAAAGGGTAAAAACCTATGGAATAAGCAATGTAAATAAATCTTTTAACATTTTGTAGAACTAAAAAAAAAACCAAACATATTTATATTGACATGTTGTATAGACTCTTGTCTGTTTGTTGACCATGAATGTCTTTTAATTTTTTGTGTTGTTTGGTTGCTGTCTAGTTTACCCCACTTCTACTATTCATGCATATCATAACATTGAAAGTAAAATAAATAGTTTAATTTTATTCTGCTTTATATTTTCTAAAATAAATAAAATGCATTATATAACAATATGACATATAATAAGATTTTCAGTTTCTAACATACAGCCAGGTAAAACATCATCTTTCTCTTAATTTTCTATCATACAGCAGTTTAAAAGAGTTCATATCATACAGCAGGTAAAACTAGGTCCAGATCATACAGGTATGTTCTATCTTAAACAGGTGGTTAAAAACATAAAGGTAACAGCTGTAAACTGATCAATAAAATAATGTACATGTATACTTATTAAAAATACTTGTTTCTCAAATATTGATTTGTACTTTTTCAATAAAATAGCAAGTATTTAGAGTAGAATTTGTGACATTACTATCCATCAATTCAATTATTCTATTTAAAAACTAAAGAAATATTCAAATATACCTACAACACTAAACAAATAAATGCTTTCTAGGCATACCAATGAGGAAAACAACTGACAAGGTCACAGTCATTTTTAGTTCTTTTGATTAAGGAAGATTGAGAGGTTTGAGTAGACAAGTTTAATTACTCCCTTAAATTACTTCACTTGGGGAGAAAAAAAATTATGCAGCATTTTTGTGCTACCGGTACTTATCAATATTTTTAAAATTTGATTTTGTATGTGCTCAAATGATTTTTTTAGTTTTATTTGTTTTCAAATGCAATTTGACGAAACTTGTTACTTAACCCCTAAAATATGATACAACCAAATTATTAAAAACTAAAAATCAATTTGGTGTAACCCAGTTTTATACAGCAAACATATCCTGACACCTATTTTCAATCACACAAAACAATAATATTTGTATGCCATTCGTGTTTCAACTTTATGAAATTTAATGAAAAAACTGAAGAAATGACACCCGTAGATGTTTTTTTTTAAGAAAATTATTTTTTTCATAAATTTAGGTACCAGCATTTGAAGAATAATGTTTCCAATTCGAAAGATTTTCCTGCTGTGAATAACAGGCTGTAAATATCAGTTCTTTTTGACAATACAGTGACCACTATTCTTAAATTGTGATATTACACAACTGTCCAAGGTTGGGGAGGGTTTGCCTCCCACAAACATGTTTAACCCCACCAAATTCTGTATGTTATGTCAGGCCCTTTTATAGCTGACTATTCATATGGAATGCTCTTTGTTGGAATGGCCATACAGTGACCTAAATTTGCTACTTTCTATGTCATTAGGTGGAGAGTTGTCTCATTGGCAATCATACCACATCATCTTTTTTTTAATATGTACTATAAAGTCATATAAATGATGAGGAAAAAATGCATAGTATTTTTAAAGGAACATTATTGAGAATGGTTTACAGGCTAATGATCATATAAAATTTCATTGAAATTAAACTAATTTATATATAAACTAATTGTTTTCCATAATTCTAAATTAGCATTAAAACTAGACTACAATACTGAGCTATCAAACTTGGTTTACCTGTATTAAACTATAAATAAATAATGTGGAACATAAAGTGGAAAAGTTTTTTTTTTTTGGGGGGGGGGGGGGGGGGGGAGGGGGCTTGTTCTCTAGTTTAACAGCTATTTTGTGAAAAAAAGAATAACATTTGGGTTCAGTGAATTTATTGTAATTTTTATGTTCAGTATCTTTTCTCCAAGTCAAATAACTAGAATTGACCAAACTTTAAGGTGAACCTGTAGGGGTTATAATGAGTGTTTTTGGCTTTATCATATTAGATTACTATATAATGCTATCTTACTTTGATACCAGTAAAATAAATTGATACATAAACAAGATTAAATCTCAATAATATCACAGTTCCATGGAAATGATGCAAGGCTTTTAAAACCCATCAAGGTGCTGTACAGAACAAGTGTTTTGTCACAAATTTACAAGTTCTATTATCAGAACTAATATCACAGATAAAATAAAAGATATTTTTACATCAAACTAAAACAGTAAATGAATAAATATGCCCTTTTACTAATACAAAATCTATATAAAATGTTTTGCTGTTTATCCTAATTAAATTTTTGCTATAATAATTTTGGTAACATTCTTAATCTTGTAATATCTAATATTTTATCATCATCATCTGGATACAAATGTTTATATTGGTTTTCCTGTCTATGGTGATCCATTCGGTTTTCTGCTGGACTTCTATGATCAAATACATCTTGTCTGTCTTCTGACACATTTGGTCTTTCTTTGGTAATGTGAGGGGAAGCTTGCATCCCTGGTGATGGAGTAAAATGATAGTTCATTCTCCCAAGTTTTTCTGATGTCTTTTGATGACTGTTATTAAAAGGACTGTTTGTCGGACTGTTGATGAATTGGTTCTTTGTTTGACTGTTCATAAAAGGACTATTTGTTTGACTATTTGGAACAGAATATTTTGTTTGGCTATTTACAAATGGGCTATTTGCTTTACTATTAACAAAAGGACTATTGGTTTTATTTGTTATATTTCCACTATTTACAGAAGCAGTCCTGTTGCGATTATCTGACGGAGTGTTTGTGACATTTTGACTATTAACTAAAGGACTACCCACATGTCGACCGCTGACAGTTTGTCGTGTGGGTGTTTTATAGCTGTCATTGCCTGTGTTGTTAATAACATCCTGTGTCAGCTGTACAGGAGATTCAGATCTACCAGTTATCGTACTAAAATTTAATTGTAGTTGGTAACTTTCATTTTCAGTACTATCTGCAGTTGTATTCCGTGAATCACTGTTTATTAGTCCATGCTTCTCCATGTATTTCCTTGTTGCAAATGTCATGTCATTTGGAGACATTCCCATGGTAGTAACGTTTGGCGTAGCTTCTTTGTCATCTGATAAAATATGGCGTAACATGGCTACACGCTGATGACTGTTGTTACCTCCTAATTTTGCTTTAGTTTGTAATTTTGTCATCTGAGTAAGTTGTTCATCCTTCAAGTATTTCATGGCCATAGCATTGATTTCCATTGAACAATCTGAGTCGGAATCAAACATCATAGACATATAATTGATTTTTGGTATAAATGTTGTCTCAAGTGGTGTTCGACTTGCATTTCCAGATCTGTAAATAAATTTAAAAAATTTCTTTTATGAAGGCTTTTTGTTTGTGTTTATGATTTCATTATTTTCTTTATACAGAAACACAGGTGTTACAATTGATAATTGATAGAGGTAGCCTATTTTTATTATTTTTAATCCAGTCAAGGTAATGGCATAAAGTTTTATATGTCTATAATATGTATGGATTTTACTTAGTTTTCCTTTGTTTAATTGATCTCTGAAGAAAAATTAACTTGAGAATAATTTGGATCAAGACTTAAAAAGGAGAGGACTTAAATTTATTCTGAGCGATTACTGTGTACTGAAATAGTACAATCAATGGTGTTCAGGGGGTAAATCTTGTTATCTTTTTCATATGAAAAGCATAGTTTTCATAAGAAAAAAATGAAACAATGAAAACATGTTGGAAGAAATAAAATAAAAATGCCATGTTTTTTCAACATTTTTCCGGACCATTTCGGCAAAGTGACTTTGTATGTACAAGATTGTAGATTGATTGGCTCAGGTAAATGCATGCTAATTTAAATTACATTTTTTTACGGCAAAGCACAACATAGTGATATATATTTGTACATTATCATATGACTTTAAATATTTTAACATTTTTATAAGTACCAGTAATTCTTCTCACAGCTCTGTGACTGTAGTCATACACAGTGACCAACAAAGTTGAGAATTTCCCTTGTGTAAAGTAGAGGATGAACAAATGTTCATATGTCCCAAACAAAGGAAAAAGAATGTTTTATTCCACTTGCTATACTTTTTATATTCCCTGAACATAAAATACTATTTTACATACAATTTTCATATCTACTTACTTTTATAACAAAACTCAACATAAACAGAAGTGACCATGAGTTAAGCATTTATTCTATGACAAATTTTTTTGTTTTGTTTTTAAGTCTGAATTAATTTTGAGCACGATACTGACTGTACTATCACGGTTTAAAAACATTCAAAACGTTATGTACATTATCTGCATGCAATGTCACACAAGGTAGTCCTGATATTCAGAGGGGAATTATCTGGAATATGAAGTTTTGTCCAATGTCATGTGGGATAGTATCAACCAATAAAATATTGATTTCGCTATCAATATTTACATACAGTGGAATAATAAAATAATATGCTACCTATGGGTCCTTCATTAACAGGTGGTATCTTGTTCTCTTATCCTACAGATAAGTACCCACCAGTATAAAGGAAATTTTATATATATATTGAATATACAGAAAAGTTCCTCCTACAAACTGAACAAGATTGCCAACTTTAGCTGCCATAATACTGGTGCATATCACTAAAGCAACATTTTTGACAAAATAGGCAGAAACATATACTAACTTGCAGAAATCATAATTGGGTTCTTTATTTGAAATAGAGAATCACAGACTTTGCTGGTATTCTATGTGCCAATAAAAGAGGCTGACCATGCCAATCATTGTAAAAATAATCTAATCGTATAAATCTGCGCCAATTTTGAACTTGACGAGACATTGGTCATATAAATCCTTTGACATAAATTTTGAACTTTCTTTGACGATTTTCAATATTTTTTTCATAAACATACAAAATATTCTAACTGCATTGATTTTCAAACTCATCTGAGATATTGCTGATGTAAACTATTGACATAAATTTCATTTTAAGGTATTCATTAATCTTTGAGGAGATATGTAGGTGCAGGAGTAATTAAAATGTTTATTTTCCATATTATCTACATTTCCAAGGATTTTTTCTTAAAAAAAATTAAATTGCGGTGATTTTCAAACTCATCCAGAAATTGCTGATGTTAAATTTGACATGAGTTTCATTTAAATCCAAAAAGCTGCTAGCAGGAGAATGCTTGCAATGTCAATTTTTTTATATTACTTACAATTTCATTGGGCATATTGCCTCAAATAATAACTGACAACATGACTGAACGGCACTGATTTTAATCTCAGCAGAGATGTAGCTAATGTTAACCTTTGACATGAATTTCATTCATCTCCAATTAAATTGTTTGCTTAAGATCACTTACAATATAAATCTTTAATATTATGTACACTAGAAAAAAATAGTATCAGTTTGGTGGTTCATACCTGTGTTGTATAGAGTTGATGTACTGGCCTAACATAATACTTTGTTGCAGCGTATCATTTTGTAATGTGTCTGTTTGGTCTCCTAGTGGCGATTCTGAATCTTGCTGATTCAGCAGTACTTGAATGTTATTCTATAAAAAAAATCACAAAACCTCAATTAAAGTAGATCAGGGGTCTAAATTAAAACTAATAGAATTTTCTAATAATTTGCAAATATAATTTATATCATGCATTTTTTTCTTCAAAAATATAGTAATAAACAGCTGCGCCATGAGCGCATGATATGCCCGTTGTCTTGTGTGTGAATTTTTATGCAATAAGCATAAATAGTTTCTGACATACGGCGTGACATGCGAAAACCCCCTTTTTTTTTACAAAAAACTCAATATCTCTAAAATAAAATTTTGAATCAAAACCAAAAAGTATACAGATCTTTAGATTAATATAACTAAGTGTGTAAAATTTTAGCAATAATCATAAATTGTTTTTGAGATACGGCGTGACATGTGAAAAAAAACACACACCTGTTTTAGTTACTAAATCCCGTAACTCAAAAAGTTTTAATCTTGTTTTCACCAAAAAGTATACAGATCGTTTGACCATCATAAGAAACAACTATGTTAAGTTTCATGACATTTGGATAAGTCATTCTCAAGTTACGGTGCGACATGTTTACGCCGGACAGACAGACAGACAGACAGACGGACAGACGGACATTTGTATACCATAATACGTCCCGTCAAAAAAAACGGGCGTATAAAAAGTATTGTTCCTGGAGCTTTTTTTCAAGCTACAGTTTATGCAAAATTGTCGGATTGTGTATAGATTATACATAGAATAAACTGTTAACACAGAGATATGTCTCGCCTATTTGTTATTTTGATAATGCAAATTTTGAAATTTAAATAGCAATACTTTAAGTTATGCAAGTATTCAAAGTCAATGAACCATGACTGAAGGTACAGGGCTAAACAATCTCCATGGAAATGAGATGTGCCAATGCTAATGCAACTGCATACCAAATACTATTGACTTTTCATAAGTCGTTCCCTTTAAACAAACCTAAACACAAACATTAACTTGTAAACTATGTAAAAGTTTCAAAGTCAATCAACCATAATGAGGGGGTGGGGTTATATAATTTCCATGGAAATGAAACTTGCAAATGCCAATACATTTGCATACCAAATATCATTGATATAACATTAGTGGTTCCCCATAAACTGACCTAATTACAAACTTATACATGTAAAGCAAGCAAAAGTTTGAAAGTCAATAGACCATGACTGAATGGTAAGGACCAAATAGTCTCCATGGAAATGAGATGTGCTAATGCTTATACAACTTCATACCAATTATCGTTGACCTACCACTAGTGGTTCCCCATAAACTGACCTAATCACAAACTAATACATGTAAACTAAGCAAAAGTTTCAGTCAATAGACCATGACTGAGGGGGCAGGGCCAAATAGTCTCCATGGATATGAGATGTGCCAATGCTAATACAACTGCATACCTAATATCATTGACCTAATATCAAAACTTTAACCTGAAGCGGGACAGATGGACGAACGGACGGACACACAGACTGAAAAACTCTCGTAGGTGGGGCATAAACAAATTTGTAAGGGGTTCTGCAGAACCCTGTGTCTCGCCTGTGATTCCTGCTGTCAGTGTAAAAGTGTATTTCCATTCTCAATTTTATTAAAAGTGAGTCCATTTATCAGTAAAATACAGAGTTTAAAAGTCAATTCAAACAAATTTCTATAGATGCTATTTCTAGGTATTGAAGATCAGCTTCTGTCAAAGTTTCATAACAATCCATAAAGGTTTACAAATTTATCATGTCAAAAAAATTTAATCCAAGTCTGTCTGTAAATGTTAACTGTAAAAAAAAAAGTCCATCTATCAGAAAAATACTGAAAAAAAATAAAAGTTTGCTTCAGACATTATCTCTTAATCATAAAAAAGCTTCTACCAAAGTTTCATAAAATTTGATGGAGCTTTGACAAAGTAATTGGTGTGTAACAAATTTTAACCCCAGACTGTATCAACTTGTTATCTTTCAAATAAATCTAAGTCCATTTATCAGTAAAATACAGAAAAATGAAAATAAATATTTTCAAAATCTTGCGCTGGATACTGTATTTTGGTCATTAACAAGCTTTTTTGGTCATTAACAAGCTTGTGTTCAAATTTCATAAAATTTCATGAAGGTTTAACAAAGTTATTGATGACTGAAAAACTAAATCTGACTGAATCTGAATGTTTATTTGTAAAAAAAACAATGTCCATTTATCAGTTAAATACGGAAAATTTCATTTTCAAAATTTTGCTTTCTATACTGTATTTTGGTCAGAAACAAGCTTCTGTCCAAATTTCATAAATTTCCATGAAGGTCGACATAGTTATTGATGTATAAAAAACTTTAACCACAGACTGACCCTAAATGTTGACACCGCCCACACTGACGACAGAATCTAGTATTGCTTTCGCGACATAAACTCTGCAGGCTCGACAAATACACAGTTATAATAAGATTAAACAAAATTTTTCTTCATTTAGAAGAGTATTACAGATAAATTACATTCCTCTCTCAAAATTTGTATATCATATTAATGATCTATAGACCGATTGTGTTCTGCTTTTGAAATATACAAGATGGCGAAAGACACCAAACAAAAAAACAAATACAAGCATTATCAACTTGAACTCCAGAGTTGAACTACCTATCTGAAATTTTTAATTTATTCAAGAAAATTCAATTAGTGACAACTATACCAATATTTTTTACTTTAAACTTATCCTTACTTTTTTGTAACAATCAAAATTAACTAGTGTCATCAAAACATATCATGGTCCCTGACAATTCTGGCATAACTAAAGGAAACTATACATTGCAATGTGAATTCATTAATATTCAACATATACCTCCAGTTTTTGTTCTTTCACTGGTAGACAAATTGCTATTTACAGTTGGAAGAAACAGAAAAAATGTTAAAACTACAAAAAAGACCATGAAATTCATGTAAAAGAGAGGCCAAGAATACCAAAGGGACATTCAAACTCATAAGTCGAAAATAAACTGACAACGCCGTGAACAATAAAATATATTACCCAAAAACATGTAAACACACAGAATACACAATAATCATTTGTTTTTTTTTTATATCAAATAAGTTATATTTAGTCTTTTCATAAAGGTTGATGTACAATGCTCACAAATAACTAACAGTTAAACCATCTATAAATTAATTCATCTGATTTGTTTGTATATTTACCATTAATCTATCATAATATTCCTTATCGTTTGTGTCAACCGGGTCCTGTTCATCGCCTGAATCTTCTTCGTCTGGTCTACCACACATACTAGCACTGGTAGGACTTTTATCAATAGAATTAGATAGGGTATCCTGGGAATTACATAATGTATCTCCTGATTTCTCAGATCTGAAAAAAAAACACAACACAATCTACATGATATACGATTACAAACTTTGCCTCATCCTATAATTACACATAAACCATATTCATATTATCAAACTGAAATTGACCTTAAGTGTGAAAAGGCTAAAATGTTGGCAACTTAGTATCTGATAAAATGAAATTCAACTGAAAGTTTATAAACTGTGAATTCATCATTATTTGTGGGATACCAATGTTTGTTGATTTCATGGGTACAGGTGAACCACTAATCTAAATGTTTAACCAAGTACTAATTTTTAATAGGCTTGAATGTTCTTTAGTAAAAACCCGAAATCAAATATCCACAAAAATACATCACTTTCTTAATAAACAAAGATTGGTATCCACAGTAAACCAAGAAAGTGTAAAATATATGTAGATGAGATCTACTTTTTGTGGGATCTACTTTTTGTGGGATCTACTTTCATATGACAGTTGGCAGACCATTACTTCACTCATCGGGTCATAAAGAAGGACAGTTGACCTTGATAATAATCTGTTTTCTTGTAATATAAGAATGAAATATCATCTACCTTATTACCTTCTAAAACAAAAGCTAGTTTGTTTAGTGCCTTACCTGGTAGGGGAAGAATGATAGCTTGGCATATCAACTATCATATCAGACTGTATGCTATCTATTGTCTTGTCATGGAGTGCCATGTTATTAACTACACTGGACAGATCTTGTGAGGCATCTAAATCAAACTCATCCTTGTGGGTACTATTGAATGGAAGTATCCCACGATGACGTATCTCTGCTGGAGTACGACCATCATCCCCACTACACTGTGACCCTTGTCGTGGTGTATGTTCACCTGATGATTCACTAGACCTAGATGACATTGGTTTCTGGGGACTAGTCTGAAGAGAAACAGACTGACGGCTTGGAATTTTGTCTGGAGAGAACGCTGTAGTATTGACAGCAACAGAACACATTTCAGCTTTGCTGTTATTATGAGTAGAATTAGTTTTATTGACAGAAGTCACTTGAGTGTCTAGTTCTGTTGTTGTGGTGTTCTGAGATGAATTACTCTGATTTGTTATTAACATTTGTATCTGAGACTGTAACTTTTTAAGCTGAGCATCCTGTTGAATCAAAAGCTGATAAACTTCTGGAGGCACCTGATTCCAGTTGATGTTTTTACTCTGTAATACAGAGTCTGGCTCTTCCTCCATGGAAGCACTATTTTTACTACTTGGTCTTGGTGGTGGAATCTGCTTCTCTGGTGTGACACTCAATCCACTGTCATCACTAGACTTACTACTGTCAGCATGTGGAGAAGGTCGCTGTTCCTGATGGACATTTCTCTGCACACTATTTGCTACATCAATTTGCTGATTTTGTGATGTAATTGGAACAAACTTATGTTGTGTATTAGGTGCTGTTTGATGTACATTAGTGATCATTCCTTGCTGATTATTGACATATTGTTGACCCATTGGTCTATATCCATGTGGAACATCTTGCTGACAAGGATAAGGCATCTGAGGTTGTGTAGCAATTTGTTGTGGCTGTGGCGGTCCCATTATTCCTTGTGTAGGGACATATCCATGTGATGGCTGTCCATATGGCATAGAGGAATAGTTTGGTGTGACATACTGTGGATATGGTTGAAACACTTGTCCTGGCACAGTTTGAGGTAGCATCCTTTGAATTGAGTTCATTTCTGTCCTATTGTGTGTGTTGTTTTGTTGAGAAGCCATGTTCTGATACATAAAATTTGGATTCTGAAATCTAGGATCCATATTAGAAGTCCTATTTTGAAACATAAGATCCACATTTTGATTGAAATGGTTTGAATTTGAAGTTCTATTTTCAATTGTAGGATCTGAATGAGAAGTTCTACTTTGAATCCCATGACCTTGATTAGAAGATTGGGCAGAATTATCAGGCTTTGGAACAGAATTAATATAATGTTGAGCAAGTCGTCCACTATGGAAATTAGTCTGTTGATGTACATTTTGTTGAGCATTAAATCCAGACGCACTATTAGAATGTTGAACATTTGGCTGTTCATGTAGCACTGGCAAGTTAGGAGCTACTTTACTCCGTGTAAAGTCTGTCATGTGAGAGACACCATTTGCTTTTCCCTGAGTAATTGTTGGTTTTTTTGGATTAACACAAATACCTGAGTCTTCCCCAAATAATAAACTGACTTCAGGAACCATTGATGTCATCACTGGAAGCTGGATAAAAGGGGAAAAAAGAAATTTACTTAAAAGGTGAAACAGTGGCATTTATTCAAGTCATAGTTTTTTTTATCAGTTATGAATTATGACACTATAGTTGGTACAACAAAAATAAGTTTTTACATAATCAAAAAACAATTTAAAGATGTTTTTGCAATATTTTTTTAATAATGCATTCAAGTATTTTTTCTAAATGCAGAAAGAACATTGTTTCCTATAAAATAAACTGTTAACACAGAGATATGTCTCGCCTATTTGTCATTTTGATAATGCAAATGTTGAAATTAAAATAGCAATACTTTAACATGTAAGTTATGCAAATATTCAAAGTCAATGAACCATGACTGAATGTACAGGCCTAAACAATCTCAATGGAAATGAGATATGCCAATGCTAATACAACTGCATACCAAATATCATTGACCTAACATTAGTGGTTCATCTTAAACTGAACTAATCACAAACTAATACATGTAAACTAAGCAAAAGTTTCAAAGTCAATAGACCATGACTGAGGGGTAGGGACCAAATAGTCTCCATGGAAATGAGATGTGCTAATGCTTATACAACTGCATACCAATTATCATTGACCTACCACTAACGGTTCCCCTTTAACTGACCTAATCACAAACTAATACATGAAAACTAAGCAAAAGTTTCAAAGTCAATAGACCATGAATGAGGGGGCGGGGCAAAATAATCTCCATGGAAATGAGATATGCCAATGCTTATACAACTGCATACCAAAAATCATTGACCTACCACTAGTGGTTCCCCATAAACTGACCTAATCACAAACTAATACATGTAAACTAAGCAAAGTTTCAAAGTCAATAGACCTTGACTGATGGGGCGGGGCCAAATAATCTCCATGGTAATGAGATGTGCCAATGCTAATGCAACTGCATACCAAATATCATTGACCTACCACTAGTGGTTCACCATGAACTAGACCTAATCACTAACTAATACATTTATGATGCCGCCGACGTCACCGCCGCCGGAAACAGCATACCTATGTCTCGCTTTTTGACTCCGTCAAGGCGTGACAACAATAGAAGAACTCAGTTATGTTAGGCTTAAATACAGTAAAACTTACATCGCCATATTTGATTTCATAATAACAGAAGATTTTCCGAATGGACGAATAAAAAACTATCAACATTACAAACTAAAAAAATAAATTTGGTGTTAAATGCTACTTTCAGCACTATGGGCCACATCGTGACAGTCATTTTCAATTGGTGGAGGAAGCTGGAGTGCCCAGAGAGAACCACTAACCTTCTGCAGAAAAATGACAATCCGAGTCAATTAAGATTAGAGTCCAACATAGGTAATAATTCCTGTGTTGAAATACAAAATGAGTTTACATAGAATATACTGAAAATTTGGAAATCATTGTGTGCATTTATTATTGTGATTTTTTGAGAATGAACAAAAATGCAAATTTACATATTGTGATTTTAGGAAAAGCTACATACAGACAAATGTATCAGATATCAGAATGTGCGTTCTTATTATTGGGATATTCAAGGTGTAGCATTATTCGCATTAATAAAAACCTTGCAATAATTTCTGAATTTACAGTAAGCAGAATCTGTAGTACTTTCATACAGTGCTATCTATAATAAAATATTAAATTTCCAGGTAAAAAAGTTTTGTTCTACAGTACCTGTGACTTGTGAGGTGCTGGCATGTTTCTTGGTGTCATTTCATCAGCAACTGACACAGCAGACGACACTGAGACATCTTCTTGTTTACTGGATCTGTAACAATTTTTCATTAAAATCATTTTAACTATTTGTTTTTACTTCAATAATCTCCTATAAAATGTAAATATAAGGCTTTTGAAATGTTTAAACAAAACAGTAAACTTGATCTACAGTGGTCTCTCCCTGACTTTTATTTATTGTTTATATGCCTTCAAGTCCCCCCCCCCCCCCTTTCTTTTTTAACTTAAAAACAAAAACAAATGTACCACATTGTCAAATTCACCAGCTTGCTTAAGACTATCAGCAACTATACAGAACCATTACACTCTCAAACTTTCTTTTTACATGCCATTGACTTTGAGCAAATGTATGGGTATGTCACAATCACATTTTCCTAAATTACTTCCTGTTCGTAGGCCAATTTAACTTTTAAACTCCTGACATTAAAACAACATATTCTCTACACTTACTTCTGACTTTTGAGCAAATGTATAGCACCATCAAATTTTTCTTTTTTCTGTCCACCATCAACAGCACCAATGTCCATTTCTATTGTCTGATTACCACTGGTCATTGTCTGAAATTAAAGTATGTTTTTTCTTCAGGACTGTGTTTTCAAAATAAAAAAATATATTTATTAGGTTCTGTGTCCTATTTATAAATATAAAGTAATGAGTGCCCTTCAATTTTAAGGCATCATATTTTCAGGAATTATATTTTGAAAAACATTTTGGTATTTGTTTTCACATCAAATTGTGATATAAATTCACATATTCAAATTGTTTCTTCACACAGGTCCACTGGGTTTAATGAGCATAAAGGCTTATTTTTCAGAATTTGCTAAATACTGGTTTTAGCATAACCACCTTCCAAGATTTTAATGCACCTCTAATTACTACAGATTGAAACTGCCAAATTTTAGGATAAGTAAGTTCTCAAATGATAAATATGATAACAAAAGTTTTTTTTGTTTTCTTCTTATTTAATCTTTTTTTATCTCAATTCAAGATTTGTTTTCCCTATTTAGTTGAACATAATATAGTACAACAGATTGGCATGTATTTTTATGAATAGAAGATGCTGGGTAGAACTCAAAGAGACAGAAACCCAATGACAAAAATATACAAACAACTGCTTACCTTTGGTAAGTTGATCACTTCATATCCATTGAAGAGGTCAAAGTTCATTTGACCACTGCCAGTAGATGTGACAACCTCATAAAACTCTGGTTTTGAATGCATTGGGTTATATAGCACCAATAAGAAAGACTCTGGAGGAACACACACTCTACAATAATAGTGTTTCTATACTAATTATTTAAAATTTAGGCATGAAAAGTTGGTAATGCATTTTGGTATTGGTAAATAGCACCAGTGGAATAGATTCAAAAGAAACATTCTACAATAACAACTACAAAAGGTTATTACACTTCTGTTTTCCACACAAAAATCTTACAAGTAAAATTACTTGTATCTATGCTATAAACCCTCAGTTTTAATGACTTACAAGTTATTTTTATTGTAAAATTTTGAGTAAAATGCTCACAGAGTTACACAGCATCAAAATATTATAAAGACATGTCTATTATTGAAGACCATATGTTGAGCTCTGGATGTCTGACATATACTCCACATCTTTTTATCATATAAAATATTCAGGATGACGATAAACTCTACATAAGTAAAACAGTTCACATGTTAAATTTACTAGCTTGGCAGTGACAGCTTGCATCTTTAAAACAATTATTTCTAATGACTAACTTCAAAGTGATCAAGCATAAAATAAAAAAGGAACATTATGTTTTTTTCCTGTTAAAAATTCAGTCATTGTAAATGATTTTTTTTGTATGTCTGTTTTATGTTCCTGTTTATAGATTTACAAAAAAGTAGATGACTTTTTTATAGATGACTTTTTTAAAGATCAATGGTAAATTTTATGTGTTCAGTTTACTATCTAAATATTATCGAAGAATAATACAAATTTAACATCGGATGACTTACCTGTCATTAAGACTTGCGTTATGTAGATATCTGAGACAACAAGCCCAAATATATGGACTGTATACAAAGGAAACACCACTAACCCATCTGAAACATTAAAAAAAAAAACTCTTTGATATCTTTCACATGATACTATTGACAAAGCTTGTGTCTTCTTGTTCTAAAAATGCAAACTGTTGAAGCATAGAGGCCTTTCATATGATGTCAATAGCTTTTGTAGTTATTTTTTGTATTATATGGAACTTAAACAGTATTAAACAAGAATGTGTCCATAGTACACGGATGCCCCACTCGCACTATCATTTTCTATGTTCAGTGGACTGTGAAATTGGGGTCAAAACTCTAATTTGACATTAAAATTAGAAAGATCATATCATAGGGAACATGTGTACTAAGTTTCAAGTCGACTGGACTTCAACTTCATCAAAAACTACCTTGACCAAAAACTATAACCTGAAGCGGGACAGAGGGAGGAAAGAACGGACGGACAAACGGATGCACAGACCGAAAAACATAATGCCCCTAGGTGGGGCATAAAAAGAAGATGTGCATTGCTTTTTTTTTAACTTGTCAATCTACAAATGTATTTTATAACAAAAGTATTCAATAAGCTGGAGATCTATCTTGTCCATCATTTAAAGAGGTAGCTGGTTAATCCAAAATGAACTCATTAGTAAAATAGGGTTTCAATTACCTATCACCTGTAAAATAAGAGCTCAATATTATCCTTCTGGTTAATAGTCTGTAATTTTTACATTTTATTTTTTGGTCCTCTTATGTCATTACAAAGAAATAATTTACACAGTTTCTTCAGAAAATACACTTTCAGTAAATTCAAGCAAACTTTTTTTTTTATATCATCAAAATTCTAACATTAAATTATGGAAGGTCTTTATTAAAAGATGCATGACACCATACCAACACTTTTTGTTAATTTTATGAGCATCTATTACTTTTTTGGACTCACATGTGAAGTAATCAGTCAATGTAAATATTATTAACTAAACAAGTGACCTTTTTCTCTCAGTTTTAACATTTACAAAACTTGACTTACATGCCAACTAAGGGTAAATTAGCCACTTTTGGATCAGACTCCAACACTAACAGCACTTTTCTAGTATGATCCATGGTTAAGTAGCTGAAAATAAAACAATACAAGATTTCAAGTCTTACAATCCATGCAAAATGGAAGTAATGCATACATGTCACTTTGTTACTATACTGAAGGCCAAGAATTGAATGCATTTCCAGGAAAACTGTAGATGTTTGAAATCTTCTATTAACATTGAAAACCAACAACCACCTAATACAAATGTAATACATAAACAAGATTTGAACACAAAAATTAACTAATATAAATTCTGTCTTTTACATTGATCAGAGATTTGATAATAATATACTGGTACGTTTAATAATTTTATACGTACCCTGTTTTTGGTTCTCCTTGTAAATGACTCATACTCATTGGTCCTGAAAGGTTTTTAGATAAAGCAGTTGGCACAATAGGTACAGCATTAATTTGTATTGCCTTGAACTCAGTTGCCATAGTAACAACATCAAATTGTAAATGGTGAACACATTGATCTCCACTTGTATAAATACTACACCAGCCTTTTGTCAGGAGAAAATTACTCAAGTCAATGGAGTTCTTACTACAACACCTCTGTTTCAATAGCTGTAAAAATATAACAATTATAACATACAATTTTAGCCTTTTCTTGAGTTTTTTAAAAACCAACATTTTGTCAGGAGAAATAATATATGCCATGGTCACAGAATGGTTGCCAGGTGATGGCATAAACAAATTTGTGGTTCCAGTTAAGATCCTGATTATGTTTAAAGTCGGTTGATTTACAATCTATTTTTCAAATCTTTATTTCTATTTGAAGTTTAGCATGTTTGTGGACTACATACCTGTCAACCTATGAAAATGAAAATGCAGGTCATGACCTGCATTGAAGAATAAAATCTCAGGTCATAACACGTACGAACTTTTTTCAGCTGAAATTAAGTATTTAGGGGACATTTTTTTATATTTGTTTTTATATTTTAAAACAAACAGTTTCCAAAACATGTTCCAATGGTTAAGTATTAACTGAAAATAATTTTAAACTATTATTGTTGTAATGCACTTATGATTTTGATAGATTAATGTTTCAAATAATATTTTAACAATTCAATCCAAGCCATAACCCCTTATATAATTATTATAATCGGTTCACCAGTCATAAGACATTCAGTGGGCATTTTTCTGTACAGCTTTAAACATTATCTCAAGACTGGTTGATGTTAGAGTATAATAAAAAAAAAAGTTAAACATTTAAAGGAAGTAGAGATGAAAAAAATGATTTTCAACTATTATTTTCTAATTGTACTAAGGAAGAAAAATAATGAAAAGTAATATTCTAATATGTATTTGCATTCAATTTGTTTTAGATTTAATCTTTTTTACAAAAAATAAACATAAATTTAAGGAGTATATTTTGAAAGGTGACAAAAAAGGGGAAGTAACTCAAATTTTTTGTGAAACAACTTTGAAATACACAAATTATTTATGAGGTAATTGGCGTTAATTAACAGTGTGTTTGACACCAAAGCTGTCAAGTGAAGCCATGCACTGAAATGGATCACTTAATTTGAGTTTGCACAGCTAGTTGAACTTCTTGTCCAGGAAGAATTACGAATTTGCCGGTATTTCAAAGGAAAATCACTTATGAAATCAGTCTGAAGGATTAAGAATCTGGGTGAAATCGGGTCATTTTTTGAATTCCCGGGATATTTAACGACCCGGCGGGTATCCCCGGTGACCCCTCAGAGTTGTGAAAATCTCGGGTCACACCCGCAGGATACAAGTCAGTTGACAGGTATGGGACTAGCTGAAAAGTCTTGTCTGTTTTACTGATTATGACTCAATTGTATGTTTTATGTCTTCTAGACCAAGATGTTATTATTGGTATCATAAAACTTAACATTGACCATAGGTCCATGAAAATAAGCTCAAGATGAATCAGGTCAGATAGAAATGTACACCTTACAGCCTTTCTATACCAAATGTATGTGACCTGTAACTTAATTTAATGAGAAAATCATGGAATCACATTCCTTACATCAGAAATTTATAAAATCATAACAGAATTAATCAGTTGCAAGAAAATAAGTGACGAGTTGGATGTAAATGATACATTTAGTACAATCAGTTACCTGTAAAGCCTGTAGGTAATCATCTGATGAACTTTGACGATCATTTTTGGAATTTAACATCACCTATAAAAAGACAAATTAGTTATAAATTATTAGTGTAAAACAAATTGGCTAATAGATAATTCTTTTTTTTGTATATTTTAAAATGTAAATTCATGAAGTGGCAAACATTTCTGCTTGTTGGAAACCAAAGAATGAACTAGAATAAATTCATTACATATTTCTTTTCATAGTAGATATTATATTACAAAAGGAACAAACCTGGAATGGTACTGCCAAATCACCAGGTGTCAGAGAATAACTATTATTCAATGAATCACCACCAGGATCAAATCTGTCCAATGTAAATGTCAAACCTTCCCCATCTACAAAATACAAACAAAATAAATTGCATATATAACAATAATAAGACATTGCCTAAACAAATAATATGAGGCTGAAATAATCTTTCAGACATGGAATAATGAGAACATTATATCATTAAACATATATTCATATATTGAGTTTTAACCATTTTTTATTATCACAATGATTATGTTGTGTAAGCCTACTTCATATGCAAAAAGGTTTCAACTCTATGTAATTGCTATAAAAGAAAGTTTGTCATTTATTATAATAAATATTATATAGAGATAGACTGCATGTATGTAATCAGGTGTATAAAGGATATCAACTAGAAAAGTTAACACTTCAAAATCTAGAAGAGAATAAATAAAATTTTATTTACCTAAAATTACTTTATACCAAAAAGAGATTACATGATTTGTGAATAACATCATTTTGTTTTAATGTCAGTTAAACTAACCATCATCTATACTTAGCTGTCCAACAAGAGCACAGCCACATAGTGTCTTCCCTTTACTTTCAATATGCCGATGAGCAAATCGTAGAACTTTTTCTGATATACATAATCTTGGTTTTCTGAAAATCAAGATAATAAGTTTAAAATTCAGGCTTACATTGTGTATTTTTGTTAATTTCAGAAATGATCAGGTAGTATGACTCTTAATATATAAATCATTTGAAAACAAGAATTTGTCCACAGTACATGGATGCCCCACTCGCACTATTATTTTCTATGTTCAGTGGACCATGAATCTGGGGTCAAAACTCTAATTTGGGATTAAAATTAGAAAGATCATAGCATAGGGAACATGTGTACTAAGTTTCAAGTTGATTGGACTTCAACTTCATCAAAAACTACCTTGACCAAAAACTTTAACCTGAAGCAGGACAGACGGAGGAAGAACGAACGAACAGACCGAAAAACATAATGCCTATAGGTGGGGCATAAAAATGTAACTATTCCCAAAACTCTTGAATGAAAATTAAAAGAATCATCAAAATGAAAGAGAGCTTTTCCTTATCATGCAGAGATGATACATGTGGCTTCCCAAAATGTGCCTGACAATTGAGCAAATCTGACTATTACGCTTTTAGGTAGACAAATATTGACAACTCACCTGTCCAAATGTCTGGTTAACAAAAATGTGTGGCCCCATAATTTTCAGCCAAAATCAAATTAAAAGATGCCATCATTGTGATTACACTTTAAATACTGTACATGTTAACTATTCTTTTTAAATTTATGATTTATTATGTAGAAACTGCTAAATTCTTTGAAATTTATCTCTACAAGGCATGTGCTAAATATTAGATACTGAATATAAAGCCCAACTGGTAACAAGGATAAAAAAATTCTCACATTTCTTGTTAACTGATTATTTGTTGGTCAAATGAATCATTGTCATCTGTCTGATCAAATGCCCAGGTGCCTTTTATAAATTTGGGGAAGCCCTGATTATATATTTTGTAATGATCTGATAAAGCAAAATTGAGGTATTTCGAGCATGCTTCAAATTGTGAAATTCTATAAAATAAGTCCCATAACATTGAAATAAAAAAATCTAAAAATTGTTAACATTGAAAGGAAGCTTGTCTTTATAGAGTAAAACTAACTTGTAATAAAGAGCTGCGCAATGAGCGCATGATATGCCCATCGCTTTTTCAAAGAATAAAGTTCCATAATTCCTCAATGTCATATCAGAAATTTATAAAAAAACAAAAGGGATGTTATTTTAATAGATATAAACCAGTCACCAAAGTTTCATGAAAACTGCTCAAAGCACTTTTGAGTTATTGTCCAAAAACTGGAAAAATCACCCCTTTTTTATGAATAAAATCTCATAACTCAAAAACATAAAATCTAAAATTTATAAAAATGGAAAGGGAGCTTATGTCAATAGATATAAACAATTCACCAAAGTTTGTGAAAACTGCTCAGAGCATTTTTGATTATTGTCCAAAAACCGGAAAATCCACCTTTTTTAATGAATAAAACCCCATAACTCAGAAAAGAAAATCTAAAATTCATAAAAATCAAAAGGGAGCTCACATCAATAGATATAAAGAATTCACCAACATTTCTTACAAATTAGTGAAAGCGTTTTTGAGTTATTGTCTGAAAACTGGAAAATCACCCTTTTTTAATGAATAAAACCCCATAACTCAGAAAAGAAAATCTAAAATTCATAAAAATCGAAATGGAGTTCACGTCAATAGATATAAACAATTCACCAAAGTTTCATGCAAATTGGTTCAAGCGTTTTGAGTTTTTTTCAACATGTTGACGATGGACAACAGTATACCATAAAACGTCCCGTTAACGGGCATATAAAAAAGGCTTTGATGACCATGCGACAACAGCTTCTGAACCTTGCCATGGGTTCTTTGTTTTTATTTCTTGTTAAGTCCATCAAGGAATAATGAGTTATATATCTTTGAAAGTCTATTCATCAGTGATGTGTATACCTAGTATCGTGTGTGTGTGTGTATAGTACAAACTCCTACCTGTAATATGAAATACTAATCAGGGAATCAGCTCCTACACTAGTATGGTCCCATAGAATTTTTTTGGTGCTAGGAAATTTCAACATATTTTCATCTGTGTTTCTGAAAAGAGGCATCTAACTGGATTAACTATATGCAGAACGTCCCCCATTCTCAATTCAAAGTACTGTATCGGAAAACAGGAATTAGGTGTCTGACAGATTTGAAAAGTGCTTATCACTAACAAGCTGTTGGTCAAATATAAAGTTGTTTTATTCATTAGTACTGGAAAAATGTTTGACAAAAAAATAAGTTCATTCAACATATATTGAAAAATTTATTGTTTTGGCAAAAAGTAAGTAGGTGTCACACAATACAACTTATTATTGTTACAACTTATCACTGTCAAGTTGCTTACCAAATATGAAGTAATTCTGTTCAGTAGTACCTGAGAAAATATTTGTTAGACTGACAGACCATGTGAATGCAATTTAGTATCAAATTAGACCTATCAGTGCTACTGATCAGACAGAAACCCAGTTGAAATTAACAAAAGAAATGGAACTCTTTGTTAGAGAAGGTAAAAAAGCAAAATTGGTATATTTGAATTGTTTACATCGGTTTCTATGGGCTTTAAAAGTTTAATATAGGTGCAAAATTTAGGATTTTATACATCTTATATACGTGTTTTACTTGAATTACCGGTATAGTATGTAGCTTCGAGATATTTGTAAACTTTTAAATTATAGACAAATTTCATAAAACAATCGATTGTGGCAGGTTCAAATCCTAGTGCATCTTTTTTGTGCATATGCATAAATTCCGCTGAAAAAATTCCACAGAAAGATAACAGATTGATCTTTCTAAAGCATTAATTTGCATCTCTGCCCCCAGCGAGTTTTTTGGGAAAAAATCCCAAAAATGGACAATAATTGCATCGAAAAGAGAGTGCACCTTGTTGACTATTCTGTCTTGAAAATGGATAAAGTAAAAATATTTGATACATCACCTCGCTTCAGATTCTATTATTTTTATATAATTAGGCTACAAGTTGATTTAATAACATTAAAAATTCACAGTACTAAAAAATGACATATATGGGTCAAGTGAAATACCTTTCTAATGATAATAATAATAATAATAATAAATTCTTTACTTAAAGAGGGTAAACACAGTTAGTTACAAATTCAATTACTAATCTTCCCTGAGGCCCTCATATACAATAAAAAGTAAAAAAATAATAAGCAGAAAAAAAAAGCAAACATACAACATATTAATTAACACATAGTCAGTTCACAATCGTATAGTCATGATAGTTCAGTGTAGATGTACCATTAGAACATATAAAACAGTTACAGAGTGCATGTAGTAAATAGATATTATAAATCAAATCAAAATCATACATTCTAAAAAAGTAATAGTTGCAATCATTTCAAGACTGAATATTGGGACTGCCTCAGAGTCATAACAACAAATTTTTACTAAAAGTACTTGACGACAGACTTTACAACTGGATCTTAAAAATGCATAACTTGAAAAAAAACTTCATTTTTTGTGTATGTTTTCTAGGGTTATTAGTCTTCAACCTCTAAAATTTTTTAGTCTGCCCTTCCACGAAATATTAAATTAGAATTTTTTTAAATGTTTTTGAACTTTCGAAAATTCCACCTGACAACCAATCAGACAATTGTTTTAAGTTGACTGAATGCAGAAAAGTACATTAAATGATGCTCAATAGCTAGTACATACATTTGTCTTTTAAAATATAACTGGCATAAAAGGATCGTAATGGTGCTATGTGGATAAATTTATCGGTTTTCAAGAGCTAAATTGGCAGCATGTCATCCCTACAATGGCTTCCATTTTTACGATTGTAAAAATTGACTGGCCTAATTGGGAGATAATTTTGACTAAGTAGAATCCTGACTGTGATAATATCCTTCAAGTCTGTGCGTCAATATTTCAGCCCCACTTATTTCATTCTTTAAGAATTGTATCCTACATGTAGGTTACACATGTTATATAATAATGTTATAATACAATTATGGCCCGCTTTAGCCCTTGTGGAATAACCCTTACTATGGTTGACAATTTTGGATATTCACCGCCTCAATGGGTCACAACTGTTTTATTATACAGAACAAACAATTAAGTGTAAAATATTGTAAAAGATTGTCAAAACACTTACGACTTTCATTAGAAAGCTATTTTGTTTAACATTTCTTGTATGTACAACAAAGGTAGACTCTCTCTGTAAAATATAGATGGCCCTGAAAAGGGCTGTTTACAAAGAGATATCCTCGGCACTAGATGAATTTCCAAGCCTTGTTTGGTCTTGTTTCTTCATTACTTAATGGGCTTCTAACCTGGCCGTTGCCATATTTGCTGATGTTTATCTGACGTTAAGTGATGTCATACTTTAAAGGGAGTTAACTCTTGACCATTGAGGGACACAAGAGTTATTCACTAGGGAATAATAGGGTTGTTCGATGGAGGCTTCAATTTGTCAGGGTAATTCACCGCTCCTACCAATTTTTGGAAAAACATCAAATTAAACAATGACACATTATTCCGTATTAGCCAATCAAATAATAACTATATAATGTAAGGTATAATCACAAATTAATATCATCATCCAATCACCTATAGATAAGTACAATTGAATGTGATGCATGTTAATGTTTTGTTATACAATTACTTGTAAATGTATTATAATAGAATGATGATTCTATCAATAGAGGTTACAGGTAATCCATGCAAGTACATTAATTTCATTGATCATGTCGTTTTAAAACAAGAGGCTGTCAGATCGACAGCAAACCAGATTTTCCTGCATGAAAATGATATTTGCAAATCTGGACCCCCAAACAGGATCAAGTAAAAAAAATAAATGAATTTTTGTAGGGTTCAGAAATTGAAAGGCTAAAATCAATCGAAGTATCACTTTTTGCTACTTAAGGTCTACAACTCAATAACGATAAAAGCCAAAATAGTGAAAATCCAACTTGACCTTCATTTAGTCACAACATATCTAAATTGGAAATAATTTCCTCAAAACATTCTTAAGTTATTGCACAGACAACGCTCTTAGTATCACTTTCACTTCTTAAAGGTCTACAACTCAACAACGATAAAAGCTAAACTTGTGAAAATTAAACTTGACCTTCATTGATCTTCATTTTGTCACAGGAAACAACATATATAAATTTGAAAAGGTTCTGTCAAAGTGTTTTTAAGTTATTGATTTGACACTGTTTGGCAGCTGCCCCTTTAAAGTTTTATTGAACTGCTTCCTACTGCCCGAACGCTTTCAATATCTGTACCAAGGTTTAATACCAAGTGCATAATTTCCTGGGATAAGTTACATCTGAACCAATGATATACACCTTTCTTCTGACTAGGTATTCTTTTGTTATATGTACCAGGTAATGACAGATATTCTCATATACATACCTACTATCCTCTGTAAAATTGTTTCCTACAAATCTACCGGTACATGTTTGCTGACCAGAAATATTTTTCATCTTCATCAAAGCACTCATGGTGGTTGTGACCTACATGTACAAAAGTATAATATCTGAAAACAAGAGTCCACATGCTGAAATGTATCACTTGCTTTACTGATCATGATTAAATTTATGTTTTTAGATAAAGGCTTAATGCAATATCATATAAACTTACCATTATCAATGTTCCATGTTACGTGAGGACAAGATACGATGAACTCTACCTGGTGAACTTGTACACCTTACAATCATTCCATACACCAAATATATGTTACATAATGCTATTTCTAGTAGTAACTGGGAAACAGACCTAGATACCAAAACGTGATGTAGACCATGAAAATTGGGTCAAGCTGATGAATCCTGCCAGAATGAACATGTACAAAATAGAGTGTTAGCAAAGGAAACAATATTTTATGTTTTGATTTCATATATTCTCCAATGGAAAGTTGGATAATCTTTGTTTTCATTCCCATTTAAAATGTGTGCATGTGTTTTTGTAAATTGTTTTGTAATAAATTTGGCCGATAGTTTTCTTGTGTGATTTTTTCACATTTTTCATGTTCATGATATTGGGGCCTTTGTTAGCTGACTATACGGTATGGGTTGTTGAAGGCCATGAAGTTGCCTATAGTTGCTTACATTCACTTCATTTGAACTAGGTAGATACTAGATAGATGTCTCACTGGCAATCATACCACATCTCCTTATTTATATATTTTTTTTACTTGAATAAGATGAAATGAAAAGCACTTTAAAGAGGCATTAGCTGTCAAATTCATGTTCACTGGTTTGCCCCTTTAATACATGTTTCCATATTCTTGACACTAAATGTGCACCTTGTTGCTAATTAGCAAAGATTTATAGTCATCTTGTACCACTAAAAGCAAACTTGTACCACAGTATATTCCTACCTTTGCAAACTTGTAAAACTTATTTAAATGTTGAAGATATATTTAAATTTAACTGAATAACTCATAAGACTGTAAAGAATAAATAATTTGAAAGTCACAATTTGTAGCTGATTGTTCCTTGGCTACTTGCATGAAAAAAAACCAAATGGAAATTTTTTTTTTGTTATGTTTCTGCATTGTGTCTAATTGTATCTTGACTAGTAGGCGTGATTACAATGTATATATATGCAACAAATAAATGGAGAATGTGTCTATGGACACAGATGATGCCCCTGCATGCATATAACATTATAAAAGGACATAACTAGAGAATTGTAAAAGTCATGTCACCCAAATTTGAACTTGATCTGTGTTTTGTGGTAATAAGTATTGTGTATAAGTTTTAATAACATTTGGTGGAGGCAAACTTAAGTTATAGAACAGAAACAAAAAATTCAGCAATTTTTCCATTTATAAAGAGGCATAACCAGTCAGGGATATAACTCTATAGGGTTATTACAGAAAAATAACATACATTTGTTATTGTGCACTAAAAAATCAAAGAACTGTGATAACATATGTATGTTACATGTTTCAAAGGAAAAATATACATCATTAGTTTAGTTAAAATGTATAAAAGTTCTATTGATATTACTTTTGTCTATATGTATACTTAACTATTGAAAGATATAACAGTTCATAGTTTGCCAATTTTGCATAGTACACCTATATGTTATTACAGAAAAAATATGCCTGTAATAACTAAAGGGTGTTATCACAGCTTCTCTATATCACTTCAAAGCATTTGCTCAGACATACATCATGCTTAATTACAATGTATTTTAATTTATTGTAAGAAATAATGACCAGAGCATGTAATGAGGTTCTGCGCAAGTTTCTCAGTAATTCCCAAGTGTCTTATATAATAAGTTATATTCCTTTAATAACCTAGCCTTGTTATCACAGCTAAGTTTATCCCTTAATAGCCTCGTCTCATTGATTTACCATGGTTAATCAAAAATGAATTAATTTAATTAAAAAATTAGTTATCAAGGCTATGCATTTAGTTTCTGCGCAAGGTCTCAAGAGTTCCCTAGAGCCCACTATAAATGAAATAATTTTACAAATAACAAACATATGTTATTACAGATTTAGAAAATTTAAGGAATAAAGAGTAGACAACTCATGAAAGTATCTGTAATAACACACGCAAGTTATTTTCTGTAATAACCCTATAGAGTTATATCTCTGACTGATAACTCAAGAACAGTAAAAGTGACACAACCCAAATTAAAATTTGATCTGAGTTTAGTGAAAATAAGCATTGTGTATAAGTTTCATAACATTAGGTTGAGGCAAACTAAAGTTAGAGAACAGAAACTAATGTTGGGACGTACATGACGTGTGTTCATATAGACGGACAAGGGTAACACTTAAACACTCTGGAGTGGTATGGGCATAACAAGTTAAAAATAAAATCGAAGATACAATTGTATTATTATGTCTCAGATAAAATCAACAAAACCTCAAATATTACTATAATTTTTCTGATATTTATTTTACAATTTTATTATCAAACATATAACATATGCAATCTAATAAATAATATTAAACTGTTCTCACTATCACATAGAATTCAAGTGTGAGAATTGTGGCTTTGAAACAACTTTAAAATGAATTCCAAGCAATGAAATTATAAAACACCAATCATGATTAATTATTTAGATTAAACAAGTTGATTGGTTAACTAAAGGCATTTATATCACACAATGAAAGGAATTTAATTTATTAATTTGAATGGTAATAGAAAGTCATGTAAACATAACAAACAATTCAATTTATGTCTGTAATTGTGTTGTATGTGTACCGACTCTAAATAAAGCTTTTTGTCTTATACAGGGCTGTCAAGTTTTCGTGAAGCAAATGCATGAGATTTGGCAAAAATTGTAAAGATCAAAGAGAAAAAAACAATAGAACAAAGAAAAATGCTGCCACATAAGCATGAAAATGCTTGAGTCTCACACAAATTGCATGAGACTTCACAGCACTGTCCTGTATGTCTATAATAATACGACAATTTTATTAAGAAATAAATATTTTTTTAAAGATTTGCAAAAACAATGCATAAAAAACATATATTGCATCTTTTTCTAATTAAAAATTCATGAAAATCAATAAATTTTTCATAAAGATTTGCAAAAACAGTTCATAAAACATTGGTACATGTATATTGTATACATGTATGTTTAATCATTGTTAATAGGTACGTGTAGACATTTGTACTCTACCAATGTATCTTTCATAATTTGTTATGCTATGATAATCATTGTGAAATTGTCATATTTTGAGTATATGCCTCTTGAGGGTTCATGAATGGTAAATAAAATCTTGAATCTTGGTACAAGTTTGCAATGGTACAAGTTATACCCCACATAAGATTTAAAGGCCAGTCAGTGGTAATTCCAAATACAGCTTCTATATTCTTTTTTTCAAAAATGAAATGCTATATTAGACATCAATCTTTCCAAAGTTGAAACAAGTTCTTTCAAATATATTTGTTTAAATCTTAATGCAAATAAGTTGACATTTGAATAATGTAATGTCAAACACGCTTGTGCATGTTTGACAACATCCGCGAATGTTTAACGTTTGATGATGAAGCTTAATTCAAAGTTCTTATCACAATCTTTAATTGTTTCATATAAATATTGATTGATTTAATACGTCTGTAACTTTCGTATACTAAAACCCATTTGAAAAAGTAACAAAAATCGTTAGAAACACATTTGTTTACAACCGGAAGTCACCTTTTTGTATAGCCATCTACTATGAAAATGGATAAATGTTTCTATTTAGATTTGGCCGTTCAAACTTTATCTAATGCATTTTTAAACTCATAAAAGTTTGTTCGAATGAAATATAATCACTGAATAGCAAGCAGTACACTAATTGTCCAGTTCCACATAATATTTCTCACCTTTCAAGTCGCCGCATTGGCGCTTCCAGTTGAATTTTAGATGCGCATGCCCTCTCAACTTTGTTCTTCTCATTTCCGGGTAGCTAACTCAGTTGTCACGTTGAAAAAAAACTTCGAAATCCAATTGTCTGAGTAAGAAAAAACAAATATTATTAACACCAGTGTATTCAAATCATTCGTTTTATTTGCAGTACGTACAGATGTATTTTAGAATGTGGCAAATCTCGAAAGAGACATTTTCTGTGAAAAAATCTTGAAAAAGGGGGGGGGGGGGGGGGTGGTTGTTGCACCTAACTCACTAGACTAAGTAGTTATGACATCTTGAAATGGTCACTACCTTAATTTATTTTGAAAGATAAAGTCAATCATGTTCTTTCTTTTTTCTCTCTGTGAGCTTGTAATTTAAAATAGCACTATAAAATGGCATTTTTTACATTTTTCTCCAACCACTGAACCAGACAGAGACATATATACTATTAATATGTCTCTGAACCAGATATTGTAAATTATACACCTTATCACTATTTGTCCGCCATAACTGGACATCACACAGGTTCCCGTAAAATTTTGACGTCATAATACAAAATATCTGATGCCACAATGGAAAAGTGATTGTTGTATGACGTCAATAGTTCAAGCGGGACAGATTCTCAGGTCAGCCGGGAATAGCGATAAGGTGTATAAGGTGATCCCTGGGGTGCAAAACAACTCTGGGCCAAGTTGTATTATATTCCTCTCTGGGAAAAGACATCTCTTGAACTCTTGCATTTTCCAGTAAATTTCACAATTTTTTTTTGCTTATGACGTTATGTTATCACTAGCACACTGCACAATAAGAACCAATTGTTTGATGACTTTAATGATGATTGACCCACTGGTGTTATTCTTTCATAAAAATATCACGAGATAGGTGTATAGTATACTGCCATCACATTGCCATTTCGCTGTGAGAAGAAGAAATAATTTACGGTTGGCCTACTTGGAAGGCCTGCTACAGATGATTCTGAGTGAAAAGAAATAGGCATGTCATACACCATTTTGTAGATAATTCAATGCATATTTACTATTTAAAAAGTTTCAGTCGGTAGACAACTGCGGAATTGAAATATAACAGATTTTCGCAACTGGGTGTCATATCTCAAAAATATGAGTTGGTTCCCTTGTGTTATTTTAAAGAATAGAGGTTTTTTGTTTTTTTTTCACAGACTAGTGCCTGTGATTTATGTACAGTTAACTCTCTGTTTCGAACCCGGTTGACTCAAAATTACAGATGAGACGAAGTTTTCACACAGTTCAGAACTTTGTTCAATTTAATTATATGATATAGACTTCTGATCTGATGAGTCGAAATTTCGGTTGACTCGAACCAAATTTAAGGTCCCACGGTTAACAAAAGCATTCAAATTGCATTATTTATCTTAAACTAATAAATATATGTCAAAACTACCTATGGGATTTAAATAGATTGACATGATTGAAGAGTTCACCTGACAATACACACGAAATTAAATTTCCTGTCACTGACCACTGTGTTGAATTATGACATTTTTTCCCAAAGCGTTTCCCTAAGATTATCTTTGATCACCATGATAAATAATTAGGATACATTGTTATAGTTTATTAAAAAATATTTATAATGTTTGAAAAACAATTAACTGTAGTAATTATTTGCAAGATTACGCAATAAAAACAATTGTAAACCCAATTCAATTGACAATTGCAGTATTCTAAAACCCAATTCATGCAAAGGAAAACCCAACACTATGTCTCAGTGTTTTCCCCACAAAATTTATATAGCATCCTGGTAAACAGGGAATTTTAAAATACCATCTCATTTCTAGAAATTATAGCGTCACATCCATAACACAATCTATAACATAATAATCTGAGATAGCAACACATTCAAGCAGTATAGCATCACATTACCATGATAGTAAAGGCCCTAGGGGGAACGCTGTGTCTAAACTATGCGTTCCCAACCCTAATTGTCGCTATTGTGTGCATTTTTTACTCTAAACGATAAATTGTTGTCGTGTAAATCTGTTTTTGTAATATTAGGAAGTCTACTTTCGTTCTAGAAATAGAGCGTTACATCAAATATCTGATTCGTAGAGGCGGAAAAAGCACAGCTAGTAACAAAATCGTAAATTCTGTTGAACTATTTGACAACAGACGGCTGTGCGAAAGCATAAAAGTATGCAAGTCACACTATCAATTCATTAATGGAGAAGGCGACAGCTCCGAATATATGTGACATTTTAGATGAAATCATCAACAGAGTCCTTTCTTCCTTCTATGAAAATACTACTTAATTTAAGCAAAAACACAGTGTCAGATAAGACATTCTTTGCCTGGAAAGGAAAGAACCAATGGCTAAATAAAATCAATTAAACGGGGGTCTCATACATATATTGCTCTGAATGTAAGTCTACGGCAAGCCATGAGACAACAAAATTACAACATGTACAAGTGGTTGGGGCCATGAAGGGATCCCTAACATTCAGCTGTCAGCAGTGAAAAGACAAAATGAGAGCTCTGAACATATTGATATCATCAATAAAAATTTATATATTGCCAAAGTTGCCTCTGATATTACATGTGATGATAATGAAGCAGAGTCTGACTCACACTTCACTCTTATAAATCATGACAAATATTGTTAAAAAAAAACTATTTACCATACTTGGAAAAATAAAGTGCCGACAAGCAACATGAGCAATGTCAACAGATTGTTATAATAACCCAAACAAAAAGCAGGGGTGATCGTATGTGCTCTAGAAAGGTAATCAGTTACTGCCCCACTAGTAACATCAGTTTATATAAATTGACAGAAAATACAAAACTGGCAGAACAGTTGAAACAAACCAGACACAAATTAAACAAAAAAATTGCTCGTCAGTGTTTAAACTTAACTAAAACGGCTATCATATACATACTTGAACATGTTGAAATAAACATATTTAAGATAAACAGTGGATTAACATCTTTGTTTGATATGATTACATTATGACATGCCTCAATTCAATATTTAGATGATGAAAAAACCCAATACATTCAGGAGCTTGGTGGTGAAAAACCCAATTTGAAATTTGCTTGAGGGGTGAATTGGAACTGATAATGCAATTGAAAAAACTATTTCACTCAATTACATTAAAATTGGTGGGTAAAAACCCAATTTTGTGAATTCTTATCTGGAGCTCTGATTAAGACTTAGTGATCAACTCAAAACTACTCCATGTACTCAATCGGCGTCTTTAATCTTTTTATACTTTATCTTGCAGAAAAAGAAATTTGCATTGTTAGCGCTCTCATGTGTACAAGTCTTACCACATTTTTATGAAACTTATATTGTAGGTTTATATTAATATTAGCAATGTCTCAGACAAGTTAGAAAATCAGTGCCAATAAACTATTTTTAAAAGAGATGCTCCTTGGAAACATTAATTATATAGAAAATTGCACTGTAAGGGCTCTCATAAGTACAATTCTTGCCAGATTTTATGACACATGGATATTGTAGGTTTATACATGTATTAGCAATGTCTCAGACAAGCTGAAAATTAGTGCCGTTCAATAATTTTTAAAGACTTATGGCCCTTAGAAATATTGATAATATGGAAAATTGCATAATTAGTGCTCTCATGTGTACAATTCTAGCCAGATTTTTATGAAACTTATATTGTAGGTTTATATCAGCAATGTCTGGGACGACTTTGAAAATCAGTGCCCTTCAATCATTTTTAAAAGCGTTCTCACATGTACAATTTTTGCCAGATTTTTTATCAAATTCATATCAAAGGTTAATAATAGCAATGTCACGGACAATTTAGAAAATAATTGCCAATCAAATATTTTTAATGAGTTATGCCACTTGGAAATATAATTAAATATATCAGAAATTGCTCTCAAGTCCAACTCTAAGATAATTTTATTTTTTTTTAAAAAAAACCAAACTATTTTTTTATTTAGTTATTGCCCTTGGACAGATAAAATATTTCTTTTGGTGAAGCTCATTCCCGTCAATGAATAAGCGGTCTCTCTTGAAGAAAGCTTTTTTTCTTTGTCGACGTGCCTCTTCAAAGTTGGACCACAGAGCCTTCCTACGGTTGTTTATCTCCTTTGGAAACAGGTCTATTTATGCCATATTTTGTGCCTTTCGATTCACTAGCAGATTTCCGTACGAGTTCTCACTGCTTGAAATTTATGAATCTACATACTATTTGTTTAGTATTAAACTTAATTGACCAATCAGGATTTTTTTCCATGTACTCTTGTCCAAAATGATGAGCCCTATAGACAAAATGATGGAAGTCTGGTAAGGTTGACATTTTTAATTCAGATGTCATAAAATTTTGAATAATTTTCTTTGTGTCTTCCGTCTTGGTCTTGAATTTTATCATACATTAGGATTCAAGTAAAAATCTACTTTTCATCATCGACCTAGTTTGTAGATCAAGTTGTCTTTCTTTGAGATCTTCAAGATCTCTTTGCAGTCTGGCAATAGTTTCGGTTGCTTCTTCGTTTTCAGAGGGAATCTCAGGCAATCCCCGGGCATTCTTTTTCTTGCATTCAAATTCTGATTTGATAAAGTTCAAGCTTTTTTCAATCTTGTTGACTCTTTTATTAATAATTTTGACACTTTTAACCATACTCACTGGTTACCAATTTATCAAATTTGTTAACATAAGTTTTTTAACATATTTAAAATTTATGGCTACTACCTCAGCCTAAGCTCATATATGTATAAAATTTGAATTAGTGTATACTGTGTATTTCATGTATACTATTTTGATAAATCCTTACATAAGATATGTATGTGTATTACATTAATGCTGTATAAATGTTATTATAAATAAGAAGATGTGGTATGAGTGCCAATGAGACAACTATCCATCCAAGTCACAATGTGTAAAAAGTAAACAATTATAGGTCAAAGTACGGCCTTCAACATGGAGCCTTGGCTTTTCCAAACATGTACAAGTCAAATTATTGATAATTAATAATATGCATGCTATATTTTTGTATGAAGTATCAATATTGAATTTGTTTTCCCTTTACATTTTATCAATCAAGTATTTCTTTCCCTCAGTATTGTTCTATTCTACTTGTTTAATTGTTTATTGTTATGATAAATTTGGAATGAAGTGTATTCAATTCTATTTTATAGACATGAAATTGCTGTGATCTCAAATATACCCTTTTGAATTATTTTCATTTCTTAAAAGATAAAATAGCATTCAATTCAGGAGCCTGAAAATCAGTGGTTGTTTGTTGTTGTACATATTTGTTTTTTGTTTGTTTATTGTTTTGCACATAAATTAGGCCGTTAGTTTTTATTGAATGAATTGTTTCACATTTGTCATGTCAGGGCCTTTTATAGCTTGCTTTGCAGTTAAGGTTTTGCTCGTTGTTGAAAGCTGTACGTTGATCTATAGTCGCTAGCTTCTATGTCATTTGGTCACTGGTAGATCGTTGTATGATTAGCAATCATACCAAAATTATTTTTTCAACTTTTTAGCATGCCAATTTTATCAATAAATGCTGCAAATAATCATTCAAATAAACTCCCAATGGCTGATGTCCAAATGGACTTTCCTCTCCTTATAAGCTATTCATTTTTTGTTTCCTTTGTTAGAATTGTTGTTAGGGGATTATTCTCCTAAGTTGTCATACATAGAAATGTTGTAAAACATAAATTGTTTTTACAGCAAATTCTTGGAAAATACAATTTTAACAATGGTTTCGATAATCCCAACTTCAAGAATTTCCTAAGCATCCATTGTACTGAATAGGTCAAATGAAATTATATATTTTACTTTTCTAAACCATATGCAAGTATGATAATAAATTTATTGAGAAAGGAGATACAAACTAAGCCGTCCAATAATTTATTTTTAGATCCAGACACAGAAATTCATCATTCTGGTTTTTAAACAAATCCTGAGAGGTTTAGGACGTAGGACCTTGTTTCACTCTGTATCACACAGAATGACGATGTACAATGTAATGTTTGTCCTAGGAGGTCCTGGTGCAGGAAAGGGTACCCAGTGTGAGAAAATAGTCAAGGTTTGTATTCCTACACAAATCATTTTTGGGGCCTCAGTGGCTGAGTGGTGAGAGTTTAGGAATAAGGGGTAAAAAAACAAGCATTTTTCTTGTTTCAGGACAATAGCTTGTGAATAAGGCTAAGCTTGTGAATAAGTGTATGGATCTCTGTGAAATTGTACCACAAGGTTCCATACCTCAAAAGGAAGGTTGGAATTGATTTTAGGGGTTATGGCCCAAATCATTTAGGAATTAGGGGCCAAAAAACAAGGGATTTTCTGGTTTCCAGACAATAACTTGGGTATACAAGTAAGTCTATAGATCGCTATGAAATTGTACCACAAGGTCCATTACCTCAAAAGAAAGGTTGGGATTGATTTGGGGGGTTAAGGCCCTTACCATTTAGGAAAAAGGGACAAAAACACTTTGTATAAATTGCTTATTTCTTGACCAATTTCAATGGGGTTTAATTCAAAGTCTTGAATTCTTGGGGTTCTTTAATGTGTTGAATATAACCATGTATTTGGATTTTGGGCCCCATTTTTAAATTGGTCCGCATTCAGGTCCAAAGGGTCTAAAATTAAACTTTGTTTGATTTCATCAAAAATTGAATTCTTGGAATTCCATGATATGCTAAATCTAACCATGTTCCGTATTAAGGTTTTTAATTTATTGTCCACATTTTCAAATTGGTCCACATTAAGGTCCAAAAGGTCCAAAAGTAAACTATTTTTTTATATTTCAACAAAAATTGAATTTTTCAGGTTTTTTGACAAATCAGCTTCTAAAATTAAACTTTGTTTTTGATTTCAGAAATAATTGAATTCTTTGGGTTTTTTGATATGCTGAATCTAAACATTTATTTAAATTTTTGATTTTAGGTCCAACTTTCAAGTTAGTCCAAATCGGGTGTCCAAAATTAAACTTGGATTGATATCAACAAAAATTGAATATATGGGGTTCTTTGAAATGCTGAATCTAACTGTGTAGTTAGATTTTGGATTTGGGGCCCCGTTATCAAATTGATCCACATTGAGGTTCAAAGGGTCTGAAATTAAACCTTGTTTGATTTCATCAAAAATTGAATTCTTAGGTTTCTTATATATGCTGAATCTAAACATGTATTTAGATTTTAGATCTTGAACCATAATAGGTAAATGTCTAATTTAAAATTTTTAAGTTCTTAGCACACATTTATTCTGTGTCAGAAACCTATGTTGTGCCAAATATTTAATCACAATCCAAATTCAAAGCTGTATCAAGCTTGAATGTTGTGTCCATTCTTGCCCCAACTGTTCAGGGTTAAACCTTTACAATCGTATCAAGCTGCATCCTGCAGAGCATTTTATTATATATACAGAAGATGTGAAATATATATTAATGAGATAACAAAATAAAACAAAAAACAAAATAGAGAATTAAGTCTGATTTTGAGTCAAAGTGTATCAAAAAAAAGGAAGCATTGATTCTCTAGAATAGCCTTAAATTTGTACAGTGCATACCAAAGCAAACGAGTCCAGAAATTTTCTGTGGCATTTGATGTATCTTAGCTGATAAAATTTCTTGTCCATGCCAGGTCTGTTCAAATACTGAGGAACCATTTATTTAAAATATAAAGTGTTTTATGATAAACAAAATGTACCAATGGTTTTCATAGATTTTTTTTGTATTTGGATAATGATATTGTGTCTATCTACACTGAAATGTGTTTTCATGGGAAATCTAGATTTCAATATGATTTTGTCTTTTGATGTATCCATTAGCACAACTGTAACCACAGTTACAACTTACTGATAAAATACTTGAAATGTCATGTTCTCTTTTATTCCCAGTTAACTTTACCAAATGTTTACTTGCATAGAAATCAATCGATGTTTGTATGTTTATGTCAAAAATATCTTTTTTATTTTTCAGGAATATGGCTATGTACATTTATCTGCTGGTGATCTTTTAAGACAGGAAAGAAATAGACAAGGATCCCAGTTTGGGGAGGAAATACAGTCTCACATAAAAAATGGAACAATAGTACCTGTTGAAATTACATGCTCTCTCTTAAGAAGGGTAGGATATTAACGTTGACCTTGTTTAAGCAGAGTTAAATAACTTTGTAATCATTTTTCTATAATGAAAATGATGAATTTGAACATTGGAACTTGAATGAAACTCACATTTACTATTTTACTATCTTTCAAACAGTTTCTAGAATCACTTGATTATATGAAATTGATAACAGAAATAAAATTGAGAATGGAAATGGGGAATATGTCAAAGAGACAACAACCCGACCAAAGAGTAGACAACAGCCTAAGACCACTAATGGGTCTTCAACGCAGTGAGAAAATCCCGCACCCGGAGGTGGTCCTCAGCTGGCCCCTAAATAAAATTGTGTACTAGTTCAGTGAAAATGGACGTCATACTAAACTCCAAAACATATAAATGAACTAAAATTAAAAAACATACAAGACTAACAAAGGCAAGAGGCTCCTGACTTAGGAGAGGCGCAAAAATGCGGCGGGGTTAAACATGTTTTGTGAGATCTCAACCCTCCCCCTATACCTCTAGCCAATGTAGAATAAAGAAACACATAGCAATACACTCAGTAAAAACTCAGTTAAAAAGAAGTCCAAGTCCGATGTCAGAATAGGTAACAAAAGAAACTAAGCAAAATGACAATGATACATAAATGAACAAAGGACTACTAGCAGTTACTGACATGCCAGCTCCAGACCTCAGTTAAACTGATTGAAAGATTATTTCTTCATCATATGAAAATCAAGTACAATCCCTCCCGTTAGGGGTTTAGTATCATACCATCATAAAATATATGAGAAGAACATAACCCGTATCATGCCAACAACTGGTTTTAGAATAAATGTGTTTATTTCCGATGCAAAGACCCTATGAGTGAATCAATATTAATACCAAAATATGCAATCCTTAATGACTTGACAACAGTATAGTAACTATATCCTTTCCAAATAAGTCTGTTTAAAGGTTTGGTAATAAGTCTGTTTAAAGGTTTGGTTAGCTTTTGAGGTGAATGCTGACATTTTAGAAGTTGATTTGAGACACATTAAGTTTTTTTATTGTTAAAATCAGTACTGTGTTTTTAAAAAGATGCTTTACAAGTTAAGGATGGGATGTACAGTATTTTAACCCATTTATGTAAAGCCAAATTGCACCAGGTCACATGCAGGAGGTCTATTATTCATCTTCAAAGTTGTGATCTTACACTGTTAAACCTGGCAATTTCCGTTTGAGTTTTATCTGGTGTTATTTAAACATTTGGTAGATATTTGAATCAATATTACTCAGGTGAAACAGTTTGGTTCAGCTGACTTAAATGTAGATTTACCTAGTTCCATCGAAGCTATTATTGTATTAAAACCTATAATATGGTTTTTACAGTGGGAAGGTGACACCTGGTATTTACAACTGATAATTTTAGTTTTCCTCCTAAGTATTTTTAAGGTGTGCTGTTTATGGCGGCAGCCTCAACAATGTATTAGTTTGTGATTAGGTCAGTTTATGGAGAACCACTAGTGGTAGGTCAATGATATTTGGTGTGCATTTGTATAATTAGCATTGGCACATCTCTTTTCCATAGAAGTTATTTGGCCCCACCCCCTAACTAAGTCATGGTCTATTGACTTTGAAATTTGTGCATAGCATAAAAGGCCCCCCCTTTTGTGGGAAAAATTTGGTTGATTATATAGGGAATCACTGAAGCATGACTGGAGCGGGCCCCCACTTATGAAAAGTTCTGGATCCGCCACTGCATAGTTTACATGTATTAATTTGTAGTCAGGTCAGTTTATGAGGAACCACTAGTGGTAGGTCAATGATGTTTGGTGTGCATTTGTATTAGCATTAGCACATCTCATTTCCATGGAGATTATTTGACCCCAACCCCTCAGTCATGGTCTATTGACTTTGAAACTTTTGCCTAGTTTATATGTATTAGTTTGTGATTAGGTCAGGTTAATGGGAACCATTAGTGCCACTGTGGTAGGTCAATGATGGGTGGTATAAAGATGTCATGGTGTATTGACTTTGACACTTTTGCTTAGTTTGCAGTTGTCTAACCATTTGCAAGTCTGATTTTCATGGAGATTATATGGTCCCTTCCCCTCATCATGGTTCATTGACTTTGAAACTTTTGCATAGTTTACAAGTTAGTTTGTGTTTAGGTTAGTTTGAAGGGAACCATTTATGAAAAGTCGATTGTATTTGGTATTCAGTTTTATAAGCATTGGCATTTCTATTTTCCATGGTGGTTATAAGGCCCTGCACCTTCAGTGAAAGTTTTGCATGCATTAAATTTTTAAATATTGCCATTTTAACTTCAACATTTGCATTAATCTATCAAAATTACAAAAAAGCGAGCCATATCTCTGTGTGTACAGTTTATTGTTTCCCAAGGTATTTAGTACAAGGGTTTAGAAAGGTAATGTCTATACTATTTTGACAGGAAAACTAACAGTTAAAATCATTTCATTAAAAACACTAGAATGACAAGAAATAAAAAAAATTCATTGCCATTGTTCAATAACTTTTCAGGCCATTTTAATCTGAAGTACACAATTGTGGCTCAAGTAAGAAAGACCTGTTATCACTTTCTGCACATTTGATTTTTTAGCTTAATGTGAGCTTGCGTCCATCTTCCGTCCGTTGTCTGTCATCATTCGTCCATAAAATTTTCTTCAAAAGTCTTCTCCTCTGAATCTACTCAATGTCTGCTTCATCTATAGGATGTCAACTACAAAGTTTGTTATTTTTGTCCAGGTTGATCAACCAACATAGACTTCTTGTCTAAATATAGAACAGATGGGTCAATCTACAGTTTTGTCTAATATTTCTAAAACTATAGTAATTAGAGAAAAACTGTTAGGTTAAAAATGGTCAACACAACAAGTTCTATGTGCTTTGAAGATTTTGGAAAAATCTGCCCACTTAATTTGGAGTTATTACCCCTGAAATGTTGATTTTAAAATTTTGTTGCATTTACTTGCCATTGTTTCAAAAACTATAGGAGCTAGGTTAAAAATGTTAAATGCAAAAATGATCAGCAACACAAGAGTAACTATCATATGTGCATATAAATGTCCTAATTAGCTCACTGGCAATTTTTTCACTAGGTGAGTGATGTGCCTCTTGGTCATATGTAATGGAAAAAAAAAGAAGTTTTTTCAATGGATTACCGGTAAAATAGAATTAACAAATTACAAAACAAATGTTTAAGATGAACTCTAGCATCAGTATTAGCAAGAGTGTTAATTCAGTTGTAAACTGTGAGTATGTATGTAAGTTCAGATGTTCTTGCTCGCTGCATAATAGAAAAACAAAGTATATGGAGTATCCATCCATGACACAAAATCAGTACATGCACAGCAAAAAAAACATAATAAATTCAGTTAGTATAGAAACAATTAGCATTAATATATATGCTGTTGATATTTCTCTTAGGCAATGGAAAAAAGTGAAGGAAAAGACACATTTTTGATAGATGGCTTTCCTAGGAATCAGGATAATTTAGAAGGATGGAAAAAAGCAATGGATGAAATATCTGTTGTGAAAATGGTTTTATTTTTCAACTGCTCAGAGGAAGTAAGTCTATGTTATTGAACAATAGAAAACTTAAGATTTATTGATATTGACCACAGAAAGATTTTAAAGGAATCTTAAGATTTATATAGTGCTTTTTAAATTGGCTGTTTCTGTATTAGCCCAGAGACTCAAACGAGTCGAGGACCAATACAGCTGATCGAGAATCAATAACAGGGCCAATACAGAAACAGCCAGTTCATAACACTTTTATTAAAAGATTCTAACTCTTCAATTAAACTAAAAAACTTAACGTTAAACACATTTATCTGTATAAGGGCCGATTTGCTCATATCATTTTATAACAACTTATATTAAACATCAGAAATATGAGAGGAAAGATTCTATTGATATAATTATGAAAATTTTCTTGTTTTTGAATATTTTAAATTTCAAGTATCTGATAGTATGGCATAAATTAATTGACTACCATAGCTTAATTGGAAGTCTTACATGTCGGACAACTCACAAATTGCACAGCAAATCAAACAAATATAGACTAAAGCAAGAACAAACACTACTGTGATATGAATTCTAGACTAAAACAATGCACGTGAATACTGTTTGTTATGATCTACTTCTATCACTGTTATGTTTAGGGTCATCTGTATGATAATTTTCCATCTCACAGTATTTGACGGAGATGGGGTTTTCTCATTCAGGTAGTGTGAGAATGGATTGATGTCGTCATTGACATTGCCTGAGAAAATAGGGATAAACTGGTTATCTATGATCTTTCAAAACTCTAGGATGTTTCTCGCTACATTGAAGCTGAGAATTTCCTCTTTGTTTGAGAGCTGTTGATAATTACCAGTTGAGACGGTAAGATGGCGAGGTTAATCTCGAAACTACAGACTTTTTCCTCTTTAAGACTCAAATGATATCAATGAATATCATTATATTATGAAACATAAAGCTTTGAATTCAGGGGAAAAGCAATGTTTGCCAGAATATTGCTGCTAAAATTCAAATACATGAGAATTCAACTATTTATTTAACTCAAATAGAACTATCATTTTACAAAGATTTTGTAAAATTGAGAATGGAAATGGGGAATGTGTCAAAGAGACAACAACCCGACCAAAGAGCAGAAAACAGCCCAAGGCCACCAATGGGTCTTCAACACAGAGAGAAAATCCCACACCCAGAGGCTGGCTTCAGCTGGTCCCTAAACAAAAATGTGTACTAGTTCAGTGAAAATGGATGTCACACTAAACTCAGAAACATATAAATGAACTAAAATTAAAAAAAACATACAAGACTAACAAAGGCCAGAGGCTCCTGACTTGGGACAGGCGCAAAAATGCGGCGGGGTTAAACATGTTTTGTGAGATCTCAACCCTCCCCCTATACCTCTAGCCAATGAAGAATAAACAAACACACAGCAATACGCACAGTAAAACTCAGTTAAAAAGAAGCCAGAGTTCGATGATAAAATTTAGTAAATGTTTTAACTAGTTTGTGATATCGAAAACCCTGGTGTAATAATTTTTCAGTTATACAGAGATTTCTTTCGTTAAAATCAAATAAATACATTGTTACATACACGAGGGAATCGAAAAAGTTGAGATATATAAACACCATAAGATGGTGACAATGTAAGTTTATTGAAATGATACCTGTAATAGTTGGTTCTTCAAGTTAAAGATTGTTCACATATGTCCATGTTGATATGTGTATATATGTAATTGTATAAATAAGTCTAAATTGAAAACAATGTTCAAACCTATGATTGTGTTGGATAAAAACCACAATTTTTATACCTGTGCATGCAAAACAAATTTCTTGGTAGAGGGGTCTAAATACAGCACAAACAACATTTTCCAAATGACCAAAAAAGTGAAAAAGTATATTTAAACAAAACGCATTTGACTAACAGGTCGAAAAACGGATGTTCTTAAACCCTGCTGACTGCCATTGGCGATTGCCAAATAAACGGATCACAAGATGTAACAAAACGGATCTGTAATTGTATATATATAGAAACTATGTCATGTTTATGATATTTTATGAGAATAAAGTTCATCTATTCATTGATTTGTTATACAAAATTGTTTTAGGTATGTGTGCAAAGATGTCTAAGTCGAGGACAGACTAGTGGTAGAGCAGATGACAATATGGATAGTTTAAAGAAAAGGTATTTTATCTGCACTTCGTATTAATTTGATCTGTCCACTTATAATATGATGATATAACTCCAGTGGTCTGGTTCATACAGGTTTTACTGTACATCATAACATTGCATTAATTCATCAGATTTCAATCAACATAATATTTTATTACTGCAGGGAAACAGATATTATAAATTGGTCATCATTTTTACCAAATTTTGTCACAAATGAAGTGGTTAATTGGAAAGTATGATTCCCCTTGATTTTTTTAAAAAGATGTATTACACTTCCAGCTTTTTACAGATGTATTACCTATTCAGAAAACAAGTATAAAAATTATACTTTTAATCTTTCTTTATGGCTTGATAGCCATTGATAAAGAATAAAGTAATAATGCAGTCTGCATGTATAATGCCAATGTTATAGATTGTAGTGATTTTCTGAAATGCTTCTGATTGTACATTCTGTGTACCTTTGTTATACCACTGACCCAGAGTTAGAAAATAAAACAAAACTGCTTTCATCCAGCAACATGTTATTTTACATGTCCAATGTTCAAAACTCTGTAAGTGGTTGTCTTGACATTTATTTATTAGTCCCCTATTGACGAAGTCAAAGGGGACTTTAGGTTAGCACTCCATCCGTCTGTCTATCTGTCTGTCCATCCGTCATCCCAGCAAATCAGTTTTCCACTCTTTCTTTCTTCATGGTTGAAGATATTGATTTGGTATTTGATGTATTGTTTTATCATGACAAGTTACAGATCAAGTTGGAATTTTGAACCAATCTGATGATTTTGTGCAGAGTTATGGTCCTTGGACTTAGAAAATTCACTTAAATAATTAGTTTTCCACAGTTTTTTTCGTCATGGTTGAAGATATTGACTTGGTTTACACCATGACAAGTTATAGATCAAGTTAGCATTTTGTTCCAGTTCAATGAATTTTTAACTGGTAGGGGACTATGTATTGCCATGCAATACTCTCAGAATGCTTGTTTCCTTTTTCCTTTTGCAAATTTGATGGTGATATCAGATCTTTGGAAAGCTCGGTTAAATTTATAGGAATTTTTATCATCTAGTTTTGTTATGAAAGGTTTGAAATGAAACATAGTTAGATAGAATAACAGGAAATATATATTTGTTTGAAACAAATGAAGTCCTAAGGAGATATTGTGAAAATCAAATTTTTTGCTATTTGTGATGTTATAATAAGAACACTGATTCATTAATTTTCCGAAAGAGACCTATTTCCTATCTAGTCATTGTTTTAGCTATGAAACATTATGATAATGTTCATTAAATCCTTATTCAAAATTTAAGCAAGAATGAGGGGCCGTTTTGCGGCCTTATCTACTTCTTTCACCTTTTACCAGAAAATATTCACTAAGGAGAGAAAACTGCACTCCTTTTCAGATCATTTGAAAAAAGTATTCCTAGTAAATATTTCAATTATTGCAAAAAAAAAGGAGATAGAAGATACCCAGGGGGACAATCAAGACCGTTAGTTAAAGAAGTAAAACAGACAACACCATAACATAAAGAAAAACAACTAATACAACAACAACCTTTCACAAAACACTACACAGAAAACTAGATTGAACAGCAAACCCCAACAAAATACATGGGTGAAATCAGGTGCTCCAAAGGGTAAGCATTTCCTGCTCCACTAGTGTGACCCATCATGTTGCTCACGGCCAGTAACAATTTAAAAGTGGTATTGGGTGATGTATAAAATACATGAATTATGGAAATAGAAGAAAAGATTTACCTACAGCACGGGAAACATTTCCTTGGTCATATATGACACATATACCATAATGGTTAACTAATTATACTCCACGCAACGAGTTGCAGAGGGTATAATGTTTTTGACCCGTCTGTCCATCTGTCTGTCCGTCTGTCCGTCCGTCTGTCAGTCCGTTAGTCCTGTTTCTTGTCATCGCAACTCCTCTCAAACCACACAACAGAATTTCACGAAACCTTTTTAGATAATAAGGACATACTAAGTAGTTGTGCATATCAACAGGAAATTACGATTCAATTCTTTTTCTAGGAGTAACGCCCCTTTGAACTTATTTACTTTAATGTACTACTGCAACAGTTTGTCATCGCAACTCCTCTCAAACCACACAACAGAATTTCATGAAACCTTTTCAGATAATAAGGACATACTACGAAGATGTGCATATCGACAGGAAATTACGATTCAATTTTTTTCCCAGGAGTTACGCCCCTTAGAACTTATTTGCCCAATATACTACTGCATACTTTTGTCATCGCAACTCCTCTCAAACCACACAACCGAATTTCATGAAACCTTTTCAGATAATAAGGACATACTACGTAGATGTGCATATCGACAGGAAATTACGATTCAATTTTTTTTCCAGGAGTAATGCCCCTTTGAACTTATTTGCCCAATATACTACTGCAACCTTTTGTCATCGCAACTCCTCTCAAACCACACAACAGAATTTCATGAAACCTTATTAGATAATAAGGACATACTATGTAGTTGTTCATATCGACAGGAAATTACGATTGAATTCTTTTTCTAGGAGTTATGCCCCTTTGAACTTATTTACTTTAATATACTACTGCAACAGTTTGTCATCGCAACTTCTCTCAAACCACACAACAGAATTTCATGAAACCTTTTCAGATAATAAGGACATACTACGTAGATGTGCATATCGACAGGAAATTACGATTCAATTTTTTTCCCAGGAGTTACGCCCCTTTGAACTTATTTGCCCAATATACTACTGCAACCTTTTGTCATCGCAACTCCTCTCAAACCACACAACAGAATTTCATGAAACCTTTTCAGATAATAAGGACATACTACGTAGATGTGCATATTGACAGGAAATTACAATTCAATTTTTTTTCCAGGAGTTACGCCCCTTTGAACTTATTTGACTAATATACTACTGCAACCTTTTGTCATCGCAACTCCTCTCAAACCACACAACAGAATTTCATGAAACCTTTTCAGATTATAAGGACATACTACGAAGATGTGCATATCGACTGGAAATTACGATTCAATTTTTTTCCCAGGAGTTACGCCCCTTAGAACTTATTTGCCCAATATACTAATGCAACCTTTTGTCATCGCAACTCCTCTCAAACCACACAACAGAATTTCATGAAACTGTGTAGATAATAAGGACATACTATGTAGATGTGCATATTGACAGGAAATTATGATTCCAATTTTTTTTTCTGATACTTTTTTTTTTTCTTACACTTATTTTATTTCTCCAATGACAATGTGGGGACGTGGGGTATGTGAGCGCGCTCACTAAGGTTCTTTAATTCATGCTGGTGCTCGTAAAACTTTTGAAAAGATGATATCAACTAAACAATTAGGAAACTTTAGTTCAATATGTTCCTTGTAAACATCAATTGATCCTCTGTCAAGGAAGTCATGATAGGAAACATGTGACCTGGTTCAACTTGGAGAAACATAAAGTTATGTGAAACGATATATGTTCAGGAGCTGCTGGAATGTGGCTACACTTCAATGGAAAGTTCACAATGGGAAAATTGAAATCATCTATTTTGCAGTAAAGTTTCTTGATACATTTTTTTTTCAAAAAGATTGCTAGGTTTGTTAATTTTAGTAAGACAATAACCAATATTTGAGCATAGACATAGTTCTAAAATTTGATGCAATACAAATTATAGTCTTGTTTCTTTTCAGAATACATACATATTCAAACTCCACAATGCCAATTATAGAATATTATAGAAAATTAGATTTATTAAAAGAAATCAGTGGTGAAAAGTCTGCAGATGAGGTAAGTCCAACAGTGATCAAGTCATAGTGAAAAGTTGTCAGATGATGTAAGTCATATATATGTAACACACTCAAACTTTCCAACCCCCGAAACGTGTCAAATTCCCCAATCGTGTCCATTTTGCCCAAAGGTGTCTGCAAAATTCATGTCTCGCCCAACGTGTCCACAAAATTCATGTCTCTCCCAAACATGTCCGATTTCTTTTTTCCAAACTATCCTACTATTTACTTCACTCAAATATGTCAAATGATTTCCAAGCACAAACATGTCTATCTATTGTTATATGCCGAAACGCATTAACCTTTAAGATGCCATAATGCCTAAAAATTTTAGCACTAATATAGTCGTCTGTGACGTCAGTAATATTTAAATTAATTCAATCAATTGATACGATTGAAGATGTCAGGTTTCTGCTTGAGTCCAAAGGAAAATATTAAGATAGATGTTTTTTGCACAATTCTTGAAGATTAATAAAGATACTGAGTTAAGAGAAGTAAAATCCTAAATAGGGACTTTTCCTTAAATTGCAGAGATGGTAGGAGGTCTAAAATTTGTATGTTGAAGCTACTTTAAATTTGCAACTTTATTACAAGTTAGTAAACAAACAAAATAATAATCAGTCTTTGTGGTCAGACCCGAGCTGTAGAAAACATACTTGGTATAACTTGGTTAAAAAAAATGAATTAATGAAAACTATCTGATAGTGTTCTGTGTTGACAATTTTTAAATTTGGTAGCACCTGCACTTTTTATTTGACATTATGTGCATATTTTGCTAAAAATCATGGAACCCTGGTACTTTAGAGCTACAGTTCTTCTGTCCCCTTTTTACAATAACAAAACTTTTGAAAAATTACATTTAATAACCCAATCAAAAATTGTTATGTACACTTTGAGGCTAAGGTCCCTGTAATACTCTTGTGATAACGAAACACTTTTAAATTAAGATGGACTATTTCAATTTTAACATGATTAGTGTTCATAAAAAGGACACATTATGGCGTCCTTCATCAACTAGACATGTTTTGGAGTTCAGTGACGTCATCTGAACAGGTTATGGGGATTGGAAACATTTGGGGGGATGGACATGGTTCTGAGTATTGCATATATATGTTGTTCAACAGAAGAAAATTACCAAATTCCAAGAGAAGAAATAAAAAGGCACCTGAAAAAACGGGGATATTACAATTCATCAACTGAAGATCAATTAAAAAAAGTCAACAATTTAAACCGAGACGATCTATTACAGTACAAACCAAAAAAAGAAAACAACAGAGTACCTTTGGTAATTATGTATTCCAAAGCGCTTCCAAATATACATTCAATTCTAAGAAAATTTTTAAAAATTCTCCATCAATCTAACAGACTAAAGAAAATATTCCCCTGATCCGCCTATCGTAGCATTCAAACGCGACAACAACATAAAAGACATCTTAGTGCACAAGAAGCACAATTTATTATTTTATAAACAAACTAATGGCTGTGGACCATGCGGGAAAAATTGTGCATTATGCTCACACATTAATGAAACCAAGGTATTTTGTGATAACACCGGAAAAGAATATACCATTCAGGGACAAATAAACTGTAAAACCGTGGGCGTAGTATATGCAATTAACTGTACAAAATGTGAAAAATTTATATATGTAGGACAAACAGGTGATACACTATATCAACGGATGCTATTAAACTTTTCAAAAATTAGAACACACAAAACAGACGATCCAGTAGCAAACCACTTCATTCAACATAATCATTCGATGAAAAATTTAAAAGTCACCGCAATAGAAAGAATATTTGGAACAGAAATTTACAGAAAAACTAAAGAAGCCTTTTGGATAAAAAAATTTAAAACTTTAGAGCCTGATGGACTCAACACAATGTATGAACGATAGTGAAAATATTTATAGAGAAAAAAAGAGAACGTCATAGTAGTAATTATAACGTAATGTATCCAAGCGATGTAATTGTTGTTTCAATTTTGTAATTTATTCCAATGAAGAAGGCCATAATGGCCGAAACGTATGGAAAATTGTGTTATAGTTTTTATTATATATATATATATATAATTCGTCTAAAATTTAGCCCAATAATGTTAGATTTGCAAATTTTTGTTTGAAATTTTTTGTTCTTCCCTCAGCTGGATGGAACCCTTGCTTCTGTGACATCGTTGCAACACTGCCTGCACTGTGTCCAGCACCCTAGACCACTTGACCAACTAGGCTATTAAAAAATATAGTTTTCATTAGTCAAGTAATGCCTTTCCTTGTCTGCTTTATCTAGGGTTGTAACACAGTATATTATATATAGTGGCAAGTAGATGGTATACCTTTCAGATTAGCTATAATGTTACTTACCATGCTGCCACATCAAAGTTTTTTTTAATTTAGATGTATATATAAACAGCAGTTTGAAATACAATCTGAAATGTTTAGTGATATTTTGATTAATAAAATAATCAAGAATATTCCTTAATTTTGATATTTTCTAATTTCAGGTGTTTGAAGAAGTTAAGAAAGCTATATCAACGATTAGTTCTTAACAGTAGTAATATTTATATATTTATTTTATCCGTGGGTTTTTATGTGCAACTTTTTATTAAATGTGATTGTTAACTGCCATACTCTCAGTCTACAAACATGCTGTTAATCCTGTTATAAAATGTCTCACCAAATCAATTATAACATGCCTCAAAACCTGTATAGATTATTAAAGATGGCTTGATTTGATAGTATGAATTGCTCTTATACACTTTTAGTGAATTATCAGTTGAAATATATCATTTAGCATTAATCCAAGTCATTTCATACTACTTCAAATTTACTTTTTGGAAAAAAAAACATGAAAAAATAAGTATTTGTGGCGTTAATTGTTTTACATAGTGAATATTAATTTCTGCTACATTGCATGAAGAAAACATCGATAATTCTATGTATTTTTTATGAAACAAACATATTTGTCTTCTCTTCATTGTGCCATGACTGATGCTTCATACTGCAGGGAAGGTTTTAGCTTTATTTTTGTATGCCCAACCTACAATAGTAGTATTGGCATTATGTTTTCTGGTCTGTGCGTCTGTTCGTCCTTCCGTTTGTCCGTCCATCTGTCTGTCCCGCTTCAGGTTAAAGTTTTTGGTCAAGGTAGTTTTTGATGAAGTTGAAGTCAAATCAACTTGAAACTTAGTATACATGTTCCCTATGATATGATCTTTCTAATTTTAATGCCAAATTAGAGTTTTGACCCCAATTTCATGGTCCACTGAACATAGAAAATGATAGTGCGAGTGGGGCATCCGTGTTCTATGGACACATTCTTGTTTTTCAAACTTCAGACTAAGCTTAGAAACCAAATGCAACGTCTTGTTAATATATGTATAATCTCAATGTCTTGTAATTCCAAAAGATTTGGAAGTTAACGCAATATAGAAAATACACCTACTTTTTCTTATCACTACTACTGCAAGGAAACAACATATTACCTTAAAATGGTGAAGAAGTACATTTGTTGTATAAAAATATTACAATTTTACAAATGGGCTTTTCTCATTGATGAAGGCCATTTGGGGGACTATGATTACCTAAATCCACTTCATTTGAACGCTGGTTGATAGTTGTCTCATTGGCAATTATGCCAAATCTTCTTATTTTTATACTGTTGAACAGTTTTTCTTAGTACACTTCCTCTTATACAATCTCATCACCATCCAACTTTGTTTTATAAGGCGGAAACCTTGTGTAGTAGCTTATTTTGTATAAATATCAAAATACCTCTCTAATGTGACCAGTGAAGCTATTAATTTGAAATTACTCCCTAAAAACAACCATTACATAGGTACACCTTTATTCATACAATAAAAAACATTTGAAAGTACTATTTTTTTAAACAAATGTATACACGCAATAGAAAAGATGGAAGTAATAATTCATGAGATGGACAGAATGATACTTACTGATGTCGGAAATAAATCATCCACAAAAAACCTTGGTATAGTCAATACTTTAACATTAAGTCTTGTTATCAAACACAGAAAGGAATCAGTCCTTTCTGCATTTTAAAACATATCAAATATATACTCAAGATGTGATATATAACAAAAGGAATGCGTATAGGATGCAAATCTTTTTACCACTTTTCATACCTTATTAGACTCTACTTGTTTTGTAATAATGTATTCTTTTGATACTTTGTATTTTAAAAGTAGGTCTATAAACTTTTTAGGCATAAATAATTTTGCTATTATCTTGAAAAAGAAAATTTATTGAAAACCATAGATTATGTTGAATTTTAAAACTATTTCTCTCATTGTTCTTAACCTTTATGGGTATTTCTAATGATGGTTTTGGTTGTATTCATTGAATCATTTTAACAAAACTATTTAACTTCCATTGTAAATACTACCATTTGCTTTATTTAAATGATAACTGTTCTGTATTTATATATATATCATAAATTAGCAAGGTTAATACTGTTATTAAAAGTACATATGTTATACTGTGTTTTAAGATTGAATGATCTTATTGTAAAAATCTGGTCTTAAGAGGGAAGCTTGTATAACTTGATAATCTTCTTTTTATTTTTAATTGCTTTAATGTTGACCTGGTAATTTATTGCCTTAAAATATTTACATTTTTTAGGAATGTTTTTACTTTTTCATTGTGTAGAATGCTTTAACAAATATGTATACTGTAGGTTGCAATTAGTTCCTCACTCTATAAATAAATGATAAAATGTTCTTTAACTTATGTAGGTATAAGTGGAACACCAGAAATTGACCATGTTCTAAAATACAATGTTCCTGTTTGTTAATACTGTAAAACATGCAGTCACATAGCATGTTCCTGTTTGTTAATACTGTAAAACATGCAGTCACATAGCAAGTGTTAATTCAAAATTGTTATTGAAATCATGTAAGTTATGAAAAGACTTGAAAATACCAGAGACTATACACTGAAGTAACTACATACTAGATATCTTATTTTAAATAGAAATGTAACAGTATCTTAAGTGAACCTTTCAATGTTCACAAGTACATGTACTTAAACTGTTCAGCATTATTTACAACTTTTTTTAGCTGCAAAATTGCCACTATTTTTTTCTGTTGTTAATTATCATGAATGTGATGGTAGTGGAAATAAAGATAACTAATAATTGCTGATAAAACACATCAATAAATAAATTAAAATACATCCAGGATGGGCGCAGGACATTTTAGAGAAATATTTGTAACTAATGGGAGACAAATTAGCACAGACATTATAGCCCATTGTAGCACCCGATTTATCTGTTCACCTGTATTTTTGATAGCCAATATTAGCAAAAACTTACCTGGTTGAATAATAATCACCATAACAAAATTGTGAATAGTCAGTGGGAAATCTAGTGATTAAGAACAATAGAAAATTCACTCCTATGAAAAAGTTGAGAAAATCAATAATAAAACAATGTCGGTGACGATACTGATCAAAAGTTACATCTTAACAACAATTGTACAGTTTAAAGAAATTGTTTGTCAAACTGTGTTATTACAAATATACATTCTAATACACAATGTTTTAAGTTCAGTATTTATCGAGATAATTGCATTAGAAGCTTATGAAACTGATATCTAAAAATCTTTGCTGCATATTGATACAAAAATTTGGAAAGAGTCATGTACATACAAAATCTAAAGATCTTTTAGGTTCCCAATTTTTGGAGTGTTCCACAAAGTCCTTACACATACAAGTTTTCGAGTACACTGGTCTACTCTTATCACAGGAACATTTAATATAGAAATATTGTGTTTTCCGGAATATAACAATTTAAAAGTCTGTTTGTGCAGGTTCAAAGGTTGTCTCAATTTTTGTACACGTATTTGTGGTCATCATGATCTATTCACATCCAATGTTATACTTTTGCACTAAAATGTCACAATATTTTTTGCTAAAATGTCCTCTGCCTTCCAAGACATACAATATTAAGGTTTTTTATTTTATCAAAGTGTATTTGCAATGGGAAAACAAGATTTATATATAATGAATTATTACACATCAGACCAGAGTGATATTTTGTAATCAAAATTGTTAAGTTGTTGTAAAGATATTGATTTACAAATAAAATGACATATATTGTACTTGACAAATAAGATATTTATGATTAACCGCTCATTTTTTAGACATTTTGTTTTACATTATGGAAACATTTTATATTTCATTCCTTTTCAGATACTAATAAATACTAATTTTTTATTCAATGCTTTTGTTAGAAAGTACTTAAGTTCTTAAGGTTAGCCATCTCTTTATTAAACATTGGGAAAATTTTCTTTTTTTCCCTTATTTTTAGCCTCTTGGATTTAGCTATTTTTATGAGGTGTGTCCTTTAGAATAAGTCTGTTTGATCAATTCACATTTTGAACTTCTTAACTGCATGATAAAGACAGGGATCACAAATGGATTGAAATAAAACTTGGCAGAAATGACTTTAATGCAGTATGTATTGATATTACTGAGAAAAAGAATATGTGCCCAAAGAACACCATGCCCTACTCACACTACCACATATCCATGTTTAGTGAACTGCAAAGGAGAGGTGAAAGATACTAAAGGGACGGACATTCAATCTCATATCAAAATAAACTGACAACGCCATAGCAAAAAAAAAAAAAAAATAGACCAAAAACCAAAAAAACAGTAAACAAAACACAACATAGAAAACTAAAGACTCAGCAAAAAGAACCCCACGGAAAAAAACCAGGGTTGATCTCAGGTGCTCTGGAAGGGTGAGCATATCCTGCTCCACATGTGCAAAGCTCTAATTCGCCATATATTTAACAAAGTTCACATTTATTAACCTAATATGGAATGGAAAGATAGAACAGTACCATCATAGACAGGCATAACAATTCCTTCTTATTCATTCTTTGTTGCTTGATTAATGTCCAGTTGCAATTTCTAATAGGATTAAATGGGAATTACTGTCTTGTGTGCCAACTTATTAGTACAAAATGAAATATAATAATACAATTCTCCATATCATAAACCCAAAATCTAGCCTTGTACTCTCATCAAAGAGTTTCGAAGTTGAACAATCACAACTCAGAATTGCCTCTTGGGCATTCAAGTGTTTTCATTATATATAATTATAACAATGAAATGAGGATTTATTTTGAAAGATCTATACAATGTTTTTGCAAAGCTCAAAATGATAATATAGTTTGAGAGATGATAATGTGATTTCCCTTAGGGTTCAATAGGAACATAAGTTGTAGCCTTGTTACTATCTTTCCAGGATCTCCCAAGACCTTATTTATTTTTAATTAAATATGAATAGATTTTGCTTTGCAGTTTCAAAGAATCAAGAATGGTATTTATAAAAAAATAGTAAAAATAATCTTTCAAGGGCTTTAACTCCTATAGAGGATAAATTGCCAATTTGGATCATGTTAACTTATTGTAAATTTTACTTTGCTGTACATTTTTGTCACTTAAAGTTTCTATCTATCATAGTTTCTGCAAAAAAACTAAAAAATTAATAAATAAACTGTTGACCCAGGGATATGTCTCGCTGTTTTGTAATTTTGATAGTAAAATGCATATGTTGAAATTAAAATGGCAATATTTAAACATGTAAACTATGCAAATGATTCAGCCAATGAACCATGACTGAAGGTGCAGGCCAAATAACCTAAATGGAAATGAGAAATGCCAATGCTTATAAAACAGCACACCATCTGAAACTTATCACTATATATGAAAAGGGAGATAACAGTGTTTTCCAAAAGATAGCATGCTAGTGAACAGTCAGTACCATTGTATTATCTCCATGGAAATGAGACTTGCAAATGCTTATATTGATTTATTATACAACTGCATGCCAACTATCATTGACTTAGAAGTGGTTTACCTTAAACTGATCTAATCACAGACTTTAATTTGTATTTAACTGTGCAAAATATTCAAACCACTAATGGTTCCCTGTAAAACTGATCGAATCATGAACTAATAATGTAAACTAAGCAAAAGTTTCAAAGTCAATAGACCATTACTGAGGGGGAGGGGCCTAATAATCTCCATGGAAATGAGATGTGCTTATGCTAATAGAACTGCATACCAAATATCATGGAACTATCACTAATGGTTCCAAATAAACAGACTTAATCACAAACTAATACATTGTTGATGCCGATGTCGCTGCCAGAAATAGTACGTCTAAATCACGCTTTTTTATGCCCACACAACTGAAAGTTGGGGGGGGCATATTGTTTTACCGCTGTCTGTCTGTCTTCCATCTGTCCTTCCGCCCGTCCGTCCCATTATAGGTATATAGCCATTCCAGATAACTCCTCCTACAGTTTGAATGCTAGGGAGTTTTCACTTTGCTGGCTGTTTGTACATATATTGAAGGTGTGCATGTGGTCAGTGTTTTGATTTTTATTAATATTTGCTCTTTTGGGAGATAGTTGAACTTTGTAATTTTTGGAGTATATACTTGCATAAGAAGTGCATAGTGTTTCCGGATAACTCCTCCTATACAGTGAACCATAGATCTATGTGCTCCCATGCTCAACTTTGTGTATTCTAAAATAACACTTTGTATCTGCAGGGACATCATTTGTGTCTCCCAGACACAATAATATCTCAAAGAAAGTCCTACATTGACTTTGTTATAATACAGTTACTTCAGAGTGGAGTGCGGGGGCATCACTTTGTCTAGTTTTACTTCTGTAAGCGAGACGAAAACTATCATTCAAGAGCAATAACTCCTATAATGGATCAATTAACAATTTTGGTCAATTTGACTTATCAGTAGATGATAACTGCTGAACATTTTTGCTGTTTAAAATTTCTCTTTCTCTATAACAGTTTTCAAGATAAGAAATTTGGTAAAATTTATTATTTCAGGGGCAATAACTCCAAATAGGGTTGTCCAATTGGTCTGAAAATTTCATGGCAGATTAATCTTAACATGCTTATCATTTTAACTCTATCAGTTTTGCTTTAACTGCTTCAGTTTTTGAGATATAAGCCAGATCCAACATTTTACATCTATGTTTTATTTTTACCCATGGTGGTTTCTTGATGGACAAGAATAAATAAATCAAATTTTTTACTAGATACCCTAAGGCCAATTTAGCCAAAGTTTGGTCCAGTGGTTTGAGAGAAGATTTTTATAAATATTACAGATGAAGGATGCAAAGGGATGGCAAAAGCTCACCTGGCCTTAAAGGTCAGGTGTGCTAAAAAGGCTGAAATTCAAAATGTTGGTTTACCTTAGTTACAGACCGATAAAAAGTGGAATTTTGAATTCTTTCACATTTTGTCATACTTTACTTTATGGTTTACATGGTTTACTTTATGGTAGGAGTTTTGCTCAATGGTGAAGGCCATATTATAAGTGACCTGTAATTATTATCTTTTTTTTCTTTGGTCTTTATGGATATTGATCCAGAAGCTTCTTTAAAATTTTACCCTCATAGCAGAGTGACAGACATGATGAACAAGATTATCGTGATATGGTTTCATGTAAAGGGCTATATATTCTATATTCCACAAATAGAAATTCAACAGTCACTACCACTAATGCTCCACTGATGAACAAAATAAAGTTGCTATTGACGTTGAAATAAAATGCACTTTCATTCACTGTATTTTATTATTTCAGACTTTTTATTCCTCCCTTTTGAAAACAAAATTATTTAGATCATTGTTCAAGGAAAAGTAGATCAACGTGAAATAAAAACATTTAGTAGTTGCTTACATCATTTGGTCTCTGTTGTAGAGATATCCCATCTGCAATCATACCACATATTCATATTTTTATACAAGTTCAATCTTTTAAAATTATTCATTAAGGTTCTACATACCAACAAGACTGGACACACTGAAATGTCTCCTCTGTTTATAGGACTATTACTTAACAATATGCTAACTAATTTTTTTTTATTAAGGAGTAGGTTTGATAAGGCCCCTATTTTAGGGTTTAGGATTAATTGGCCAATATCACAAAGAATTATAGCTATGTAGGAAATAGATTTTTATGTTGAAATTTTATGTATTAGCATTTTTTTCATGAAAACAGTTAAATTTTCATTGATTTTTAGCACTAGAAACACAGACAACATGTGTTAACAAAAAATATCTTTTAACATTTATGTTTGTTTAAAAAAAGTACATATCTGACTTGAACATTTAGTTTGTCGAAGCCTGCAATCTGTGTTTCCTGGGACTAAATTTGGTTGAAATCTAAATGATTTCTTCAACTTTCACCAAAATCTCTAGTTTTGGCCTAATCAGAGTGTCAATATAGTTTTGGCCTAATCAGAGTGTCAATATCAACACTTTATAAGAAAAGTTTAACAACAAAAGTTCTGTTTTATTTTCTAACATGACTTTTCATTAATTTGAAACATTTTTTAACTGACACCAATGGATTTAATATTCTGGGCCAAATAGGGCACTTATCAAACTTACTCCTTTGACTGCCGTACTGGTTGTACAGTAGGAAACATCAAACAGACCACTAAACTCCCATATTTGATCCATATAAGATATAATTTAAAATTAAAAACATCGCATACCATTGAAAGTTATTATTAGTAATGGCAGCCATGTTGATAAGTGAGTGGCATTATAAAATGTGTAAGTTTTATAATGAACACCCTAAGAATAAACTCAAGTTCAAATTGATCCAGTGGTGTAAGATAAGATGTCTATTAAGCTTGACAGTTACATATTGACGTCTGTAACTCTCATAGCTGAGCCTAAGATTCTTAATATTTATCCATAAAATTAATAAGCTTAAAAGTATAATAAAGACATAGTTAATCAAATAAACAGTAATAATTAACATCAAAATATTACTTTATTAAACAGAACAAACTATTGACTCATTCTTAATGTTGATGCCTTTTCTTTTTCAGCCAGTTTTTTCACCATGTCTCTATATTTTTCAGCCAAGTCTTCATTTTTTGGCATACCATCACCCTTTCTATACATATAACTAAGATTGATACATGATTGTGGCATTTCCAAATCACAGCCTTTTTTATGATACTCAGTGGCTTTTGTCATGTCTCTTTGAACATGTGTACCTTTTCTATAGATCTCTCCTAGTTTACTACAACTCCTACCATCATTTCGGTCACAAGCTATATTGAAATATTCTAAACATTTTTTAAGATTTTTATTTTCACCAACATATTCAGGGTCCATGTTCATCAGTGCTGAGGAATAACATGATTCATTGTTTCCATACTGGCAAGCTTTGTGGTGATATTTAAAAATGTCCTCTGTTTTTCCATCCTTAATGCCTGAAATAAAAGTAAGTAAAGATGGGATAAGATAGTTAATTATCAATTTTTTTGTTGGTCTAATTCTACAATGCAAAATTGGACATCCATTATTTGTAAACTTTCAATAATAACATTAGAATGTATATAAAATATGTAGTTTTCCCGAGAGGCAGATTATGGGGTATGAAGCTACAGACAATTATGGTAAATGCATAGACTTTTATCACATGCCCCTCCAGTACTTTGCTATGGTGGGCCCCTCCATTTTACAAAATCTTTGATCTGTATCTGAACCATAACATAGCAAAAAATAAATGGGGAATGTGTCCATGGGACACAGATGATGCCCCCGCTTGCATATCATATAAAGTTATAAAGGGACATAACTGGAGAATGGTAAAAGTGATGCTACCAAAATTTGTACTTGATCTGAGTTTTGTAGTAATAAGTATTGTGTATTAGTTTCATAACATTTGGTTGAGACCAACTTAAGTTAAAGAACGGAAACGAAAAATTCAGCAATTTTTCCATTTGTAAAGGGACATAACTCTAGAACAGTAAAAGTGACGCCACCAAAATTCAAACTTGATCTGTATTTTGTGGTAATAAGCATTGTGTATAAGTTTCATAAAATTTGGTTGAGGTAAACTTAAGTTGGAGAACAGAAACAAAAAATTAAGCAATTTTTCCATTTGTAAAGGGGCATAACTCTGGAACAGTTAAAGTGACACCACCAAAATTCAAACTTGATCTGTATTTTGTGGTAATAAGCATTGTGTATAAGTTTCATAAAATTTGGTTGAGGCAAACTAAATTTAGAGAACGGAAACAAAAAATTCAGCAATTTTTCCATTTGTAAAGGGGCATAACTCTAGAATGGTTAAAGTGACACCACCAAAATTCAAACTTGATCTGTGATTTGTGGTAATAAGCATTGTGTATAAGTTTCATAACATTTGGTTGAGGCAAACTAAAGTCAATGTTAAGTTTTCATGGTTTTGTCTGTTAATAGGATACTTTAAGCAATAGGTAAACTATATTGTTGTACGGAAACCAACTTTGGGACGTACGAACGGACGGACGGATGTACAAACGGATGGACAGACGGACGGACGAACAGACGGACGGACGGACGTACGTACGGAAGTACAGATGGACAAGGGTAAAACTTAATGCATAAAAATGGTGAGATACCATGAAACATAACATGACGACAAAAGATGGTGAGATACCATGAAACATAACATGACGACAAAGAATGGTGAGATACAATGAAATATAACATGAGGACAAAGAATGATGCGATACCATGAAATATAACATGGCAAATAAAATGCTTCGCTGAGTGCAGCTGGATACGACCGCAGAGGTCCAACCCTGAACAGTTGGGGCATAAACGGACACAATATTCGCACTTGATACCAGCCTGAATTTGGATTGTAATTAAATATTTGACACATAATAGGTTTCTGACACCGAATAACAGTAGTCAAAGAACTTAGAATTGGTAATATGATTTGAATTTATATTCAATTTTTTGCTTTTTTGCAATGCACTATGCTGTTGCAAAATTGACCCCCCCCCCCCCCCCCCCCCCCCCCCCCAAACAAAAAAAAATTTACCCCCCTTTTTTTTGATTTTGTGAAATACACTATGCTGTTGCATATTGACCCCCCTCCAATAATAAAAGAAAATTTTTTTTTCCCTCAAGATATGGTCATAATCTCAATTCAAATTTCCAATGGAGTTTGCAACCATAATTGCCAATTTAAATACATCATAAAAGTCTTAAAATAGAAAAAAAAATCGACCCCCCCCCAAATTTTTTGAACCCCCTAATGATTCATCATCCCCAAACTCAATCCCAGCCTTCCCTTTGTGGTATGGTACCTTGCAGTACAATTTCAGAGAGATCCATACACTTGAACACAAGTTATTGTCTGGAAACTAGAAAAATGCTTGTTTTTTGGCCCCTTATTGGCCCCAAATTCATAAACGTTTAGGGCAATTACCCCCAAACTCAAACCCAGCTTTCCCTTTGTGATATGGAACCTTGTAGTACAATTTCATAAAGATCCATACACTTACACACAAGTTAATTGTCCTGAAACTAGAAAAATGCTTGTTTTTTGCCCCTTTTTGGCCCCTAATTCCTAAAATTTTGAGGCAATTACCCCCAAAATAAATCCCAGCCTTTCCTTTGTGGTATGGTACCTTGCAGTACAATTTCAGAGAGATCCATACACTTGAACACAAGTTATTGTCTGGAAACTAGAAAAATGCTTATTTTTGGCCCCTTATTCCTAAACGTTTTGGGCAATTACCCCCAAACTCAATTCCAGCTTTCCATTTGTGATATGGAACCTTGTAGTACAATTTTAGAAAGATCCATACACTTACACCCAAGTTATTGTCATGAAACTAGAAAAATGCTTGTTTTTTACCCCTTTTTTGGACCCGAATTCTTAAAATTTTGAGGCAATTACCCCCAAAATCAATCCCAGCATTCCCTTTGTGATATGGAACCATGTGGTACAATGTCAGAGAGATCCATACACTAACACACAAGTTATTATCTGGAAGTTACAAAAATGCTTATTTTTGGCCCCTTTTTGGCCCCTAATTCCTTAACTGTTGGTACCATAATCCCCAAAATCAATCCCAACCTTCCTTTTGTGGTATTGAACCTTTTGGTAAAATTTCATAGAGATCCATTCCCTTAAACTAAAGTTATTGTGCGAAAACCAATGTGTCTTCGGAAGATGACGACGACGCCAACGTCATACCAATATAAAAAGGATAGTGAAATTACATAAAGAATAACATTGCAACAATGAAAGGTGAGATACCATGAAACATAACATTCCAACAATGAAGGATGAGATACCTTAAAACATAACAGGGCAACAAAAGATGGTGAGATACTATGAAACATAACATGACGACAAAGAATGGTGAGATACCATTAAATATAACATGACGACAAAGAATGGTGAGATACCATTAAATACAACATGGCAGAAAAGGATGGTGAAATTACATAAAGCATAACATTGCAACAATGAAGGGTGAGATACCATGAAATATAACATGGCAACAAAGGATGGTGAGATACCATGAAATATTACATTACAACAAAGGATGGTTTTTAAACATGAAATAGAACATAAATACGAAGGGTTGTGAGATATCATGAAATATAACATGGAAACGAAAAAATGAGAGATACCATGAAACATGACATGGCAACCAAGAGTAGTGAGATAAAATTACATTAAATACAGCAATAAAAGATAATGACATAACATGGCAACAAAAGATAGTAAGGCAACATTACATTAAACATAGCAACAAAAGATAATGAGATAACATGAAGTATAACATAGCAACAAAAGATAATGAGATAACATCAGGTATAACATAGCAACAAAAGATAATGAGATAACATGAAGTATAACATAGCAACAAAAGATAATGAGATAACATCAAGTATAACATGGCAACAAAAGATAATGAGATAACATCAGGTATAACATGGCAACAAAAGATAATGAGATAACATCAAGTATAACATAGCAACAAAAGATAATGAGATAACATCAAGTATAACATGACAACAAAAGATAATGAGATAACATCAGGTATAACATAGCAACAAAAGATAATGAGATGACATGAAGTATAACATAGCAACAAAAGATAATGACATAACATGAAGTGTAACATGGCAACAAAGGATAGTAAGGCAACATTAAATACAAAATGGCAACAATGAATGTTGAGATACCATGAAACATAAAGTGGCAACAAAGGATGGTGAGATACCATGAAATATAACATTGACAACAAAAGATGTGGAGATACCATGAAACATAAAATGGCAACAACGAATGGTAAGATACCATGAAACATAACATGGCAACAAAGAATGGTGAGATACCATGTAATGTAACATTGCAACAAAAGATGCAGAGATACCATGTAATATAGCGAGGCAACAAAAGAGGTGAGATAACATGAAACAAAATGTGGCAACAAAGAATGGTGAGATACCATGTAATGTAACATTGCAACAAAAGATGTGGAGATACCATGTAATATAATGAGGCAACAAAAGAGGGTGAGATAACATGAAACATAACGTGGCAACAAAGAATGGTGAGATACCATGTAATGTAAAATGGCAACAAAAGATGTGGAGATACCATGTAATATAACGAGGCAACAAAAGATGTGGAGAAACTGTAAATTCAGAAATTAAAGCGTGCTAATATTTTTGTGGAAAGGACAAAAATGCAAGATTAATTATTGCGATTGCAGGAAAATCTGCATACAGTTATTTATATCAGATATCGGAATGTGAGTTCCTATTATTGCGATACTCACTCAATCACATTATTCGCATTAATAAAAACCATGCAATAATTTCTGAATTTACAGTACCTTGTAATATAACATGGCAACAAAAGATGTGGAGATACCATGTAATATAACATGGTAACAAAAGATGTGGAGATACCATGAAACATAACATGGTAACAAAGATTGGTGAGATACCATGTAATGTAACATGGCAACAAAAGATGTGGAGATACCATTTAATGTAACATGGCAACAAAAGAGGGTGAGATAACATGAAATATAACAATGCAACAAAGGAGTTTTAGATACCATGAAACATAACATGGGAACAAAAATAGCAGAGGAGAGTAGTGAATAATTTAACAGAGAATATCAAAGATTCAGGATGCTTTAGAGCTTGAAATACTGTACATACACTTATCTATCATTGAAGTGTATGTAATAATTACACTTTTTCAAGACAAAGGACATATGACAGACAGATACTTCAGATCTTATGTATTTAAGATGTTTGTCTTAAACTCCCCCAGCTTTCCCTTCAATATTATTTGTCTTACATCTCCCGAGCTTTCCCTTCAACATCATATGTTTGTCTTAAACTCCCCCAAGCTTTTCCTTCAGCATTATATGTTTGTATTTACTCTCCCAAGCCTTCCCTTCAACATTATATGTTTGTCTTACCTCCTAAAAGCTTTCCCTTTGCATTATATGTTTGTATCACCTCACCAGAGATTTCCCTTCAGCATTATGTGTTTGGCTTACCTCCCCAAGATTTCCCTTCAACATAAGATGTATGTCTTACCACCTGAAAGCTTTCTCTTCAACATTATATATGTTTCCTACCTCACCAAAGATTTCCCTTCAACATTATATAATTGTCTTACCTTCCAAAAGATTTCCCTTCAACATTATATATTAGTCTTACCTTCCCAAAGATTTCCCTTCAATATTTTGTTTGTCTTACATCTCCTATGTCTTCCCTTTAATATCATATATTTGTCTTACCTCCCCCAAGCTTTTCCTTCAGCATTATATGATTGCATAATTTTCCAAAGCCTTCCCTTCAACGTCATCTGTTTGTCTTACCTCCTGAAAGCTTTCCCTTTGGCATTATATGTTTGTCTTACCTCACCTGAGATTTCCCTTCAGCATTATATGTTTGTCTTACCTCCTGAAAGCTTTCCCGTCAACATTATATGTTTGTCTTACCTCCCCTAAGCTTTCCCTTCAGCATTATATTTATCTTACCTCCTCAAAGCTTTCCCTTTGGCATTATGTGTTTTTCTTGTCGCCCCAGATTTCCCTTCAGCATTTTATGTTTGTCTTACCTCCCCCAAGCTTTCCCTTCCACATCATATGTTTGTCTTAAACTCCCCCAAGCTTTTCCTTCAGCATAATATGTTTGTATTAACTCTCCCAAGCCTTCCCTTCAACATCATATGTTTGTCTTACCTCCTAAAAGCTTTCCCTTTGCATTATATGTTTGTCTTACCTCACCAGAGATTTCTCTTCAGCATTATGTGTTTGGCTTACCTCCCCCAAGATTTCCCTTCAACATAAGATGTATGTCTTACCACCTGAAAGCTTTCTCTTCAACATTATATATGTTTCCTACCTCACCAAAGATTTCCCTTCAACATTATATATTTGTCTTACCTTCCCCAAGATTTCCCTTCAACATTATATATTAAGTCTTACTTCCCCAAAGATATCCCTTCAACATCATATATAGTTTTACCTCCCCCAAAGATTTCCCTTCAACATTATATATTTGTCTTACCTTCCCAAAGATTTCCCTTCAACATTATATATTAGTCTTACCTCCCCATAGATTTCCCTTCAACATTATATATTTGTCTTACCTTCCAAAAGATTTCCCTTCAACATTATATATTAGTCTTACCTTCCCAAAGATTTCCCTTCAATATTTTGTTTGTCTTACATCTCCCATGTCTTCCCTTTAATATCATATATTTGTCTTACCTTCCCCAAGCTTTTCCTTCAGCATTATATGTTTGTCTTACCTCCTGAAAGCTTTCCTGTCAACATTATATGTTTTTCTTACCTCCCATAAGCTTTCCCTTCAGCATTATATCTATCTTACCTCCTGAAAGCTTTCCCTTTGGCATTATGTGTTTTTCTTGTCTCCCCAAGATTTCCCTTCAGCATTTTATGTTTGTCTTACCTCCCCCAAGATTTCCCTTCAACATTATATGTTTGTCTCGTCTCCCCAAAGCTTTCCCTTCAGCATGATATATTAGTCTTACCTCTTGAAAGCTTTCCCTTTGGCTTTATATGTTTTTCTTTCCTCCCCCAAGCTTTCCCTTCAACATTAAATGTTTAACTTGTCTCCCCCAAGATTTCCTTTCAGCATCATATGTTTCTCTTACCTCCCTCAAGCTGTCCTTTCAGAGTTATATGCTTGTCTTATCTCCTGAAAGCTTTCCCTTCACTATAATATATTTGTCTAACCTCCCTCAAGCTGTCCTTTCAGAGTTATATGTTTGGCTTACCTCCTGAAATCTTTATCTTCACTATAATATATATTTGTCTTACCTCCCTCAATCTGTCCTTTCAGATTTATATGTTTGGCTTACCTCCTGAAAGCTTTCCCTTCACTATAATATATTTGTCTTACCTCCCTCAAGCTGTCCTTTCAGAGTTATATGTTTGGCTTACCTCCTGAAATCTTTTCCTTCACTATAATATATATTTGTCTTACCTCCCCCAAGTTTTCCCTTCAGCATCATATGTTTGGCTAACTTGTTACAGCTATCCCCATGTTCATTATCATCACAATTTGTTTGATATAGCTTTACTGCTTTCTGTTTGTCAATTTTTATTGTGTCATAAAACGATGCTAATCTATAACAACCTGTAAAAAAACAAAGAATTTAAGAAGTGATAATATACAATCTTTAGACAAGAATATTGAAGAACTTGAAAATAATATTACCGAAATTTACGAACAAAATGCTAAACGGGCTCAAATTAGATCACGAGAGAAATGGGTTGAATTTGGGGAAAAAATAACTTGTACTTTTTAGGTTTAGAAAAACAGAGACGGGTAAAAAAGTCAATCAATAAATCAAAAGGGGAAAATGATGAGATTATAGCAGATCCAGGTGATATACTGTGTAGTGTAAAAGAGTATTATAAAAATGTATACTCGACGCAAAGCCTGATAAAATATCAAGGGATAAATATATATTTGAGACAAAACTATGGAAAAAGAAATGGATGAAAATGATAAATCAGTCTGTGATGGGGATATTACAGTAGACAAATGCTCAGATGCTATTTATAAAATAAAACTTAACGAATCTCCTGGATAAGACGGATTAACAGTTGAATTTTATAGAAAATTTTGCGATAAATTAAAGTACATAGTAGTAAACATTCTTAATATTGGATATAAAGATCAAACACTTACATATTCACAGTGTACAAGTGTATTAACACTTTTAGTTAAAAAGGGTGATCCCTTGTCACTTAAGGCGAAGTGTACGTAATTAACTACTCCACAGATTTTTTTTTTATTTTACATGTGGATTCTGCTTGTAAAAATACATCAGACAATAAAATAAAAAAAGGGGGTAACCGTTTTCGTTTTTCAGATACAAGCTGTTGAAATTAACAGCATGATACGCCAAAAATACAAAGGATATATAGGGAAAATCATAAAAATCGGCAGATATTTTTACTTTATCAAGATTTTCTAATTCGTTGGTCCACAGAATTTTTTTAAAAATCGATATGCGATTCAAAAATGAACGACGAACCCATTGGTGCAAAGAAAGTCCTTAGCAACCGTGCTAGTTTTCAAGCTATATCATGTGGAAGTTTGATTTTTAGCGGAAAGAATAAAAAACATTCGGCGACGTTATTGATGTCTACTGTAACGTCATCACAATTTCTACTAGATATAACTCTATAACGCTATTATACCGTACAGTGTCGAAACAAAATCGTGAGTGTGTATAAAATTGAGAATGGAAATGGGGAATATGTCAAAGAGACAACAACCCGACCAAAGAGCAGACAACAGCCGAAGGCCACCAATGGGTCTTCAACGTAGCGAGAAAATCCCGCACCCGGAGGTGGTTCTCAGCTGGCCCCTAAATAAAATTGTGTACTAGTTCAGTGAAAATGGACGTCACACTAAACTTCAAAACATATAAATGAACTAAAATTAAAAAAATATACAAGACTAACAAAGGCCAGAGGCTCCTGACTTGGGACAGGCGCAACAATGCGGCGGGGTTAAACATGTTTTGTGAGATCTCAACCCTCCCCCTATGCCTCTAGCCAATGTAGAATAAAGAAACACATAGCAATAACTCAGTTTAAAAGAAGCCCGAGTCCGATGTCAGAATAGGTAACAAAAGAAACTAAACAAAAAGACAATGATACATAAATTAACAAAGGACTACTAGCAGTTATTGACATGCCAGCTCCAGACCTCAATTAAACTGATTGAAAGATTATGTCTTCATCATATGAAAATTAAGTACAATACCTCCCGTTAGGGGTTTAGTATCATACAATCATAAAATATATGAGAAGAACATAACCTGTATCATGCCAATCACTGGTTTTAGAATAATAGTGTTTATTTCCGATGCAAAGACCCTATGAGTGAATCAATATTAATACCAAAATATGCAATCCTTAATGACCTGACAACAGTATCGTAACTATATCCTTTCCGAATAAGTCTGTTTAAAGTTTTGGTTAGCTTTTGAGGTGAATGCCGACATTTTTGTGCTTTGTAAAGAATATTACCATAAAATATTGGATGTGAAATACCTGAACGTATAAGATGTCTACATGTTGATTTATATTTACGAATTATTTATAACCCGTTGACAGAATGATTCTATACGTATTTAAATAATCGGTTATAATATTGGGATCGCGTATACACGTCTTTTTTAAAATCTTATTTCTGTATGTTTGTATTTTAAAAAAGTGTATATAATTTGCTGCATCTTTTCATCCTCACCATTTCCGGCGCTATTCGAGGTATTGCGCACAAAACCCATTTTATTTGTCAGGTTCACACACGTGCACGTGACACAACTCTGCAATTTTATTTAAAAAATTTCCTGTCTCGATCGCTTTCCCTTTTCTTTAACTACACGACAAAGCATAATATAATGTTTGCTGGAGATTTTAAGTAAAAAAGGAAACAATTTCTTGTACCATTATTTGTTGAATATCCACATGCACGACTCCCAAAAAATAAGAAAACTGCATCTGCATATTATCTTGAGAATTTTTATGGCTGTAATAAGGTCAAAAGAAGAACCCGCATATGAATTTTAGCAAAGTAAATCAGATCGGAGTTTTTGATATAACTTGTCCCTGTATATAATGCAAATGAATTGCAGTTTTGTTAATATAATATGAAAATAAGGAGATGTGGTATGGTTGCAAATGAGACAACTATCTGCCACAGTTTAAGGTAGATCGGGTGTCTTTTTCTGAGCGTCCGTTCTGATCATGTTGCAAAAATACTTTTTTGTTTTAAAAATATTTTACCAAGTATCATTTAATATACAACAAAATACCTAAAACTTGAAATTTAAAGATTGAACTATCAAAAAATTAAGTGTCGTAAAGTATATTTAAAATTTTTGGGGATTTTTTCAAGAAAATAAGGCCCGTGACCCCCTATTTTTATTGGATATTTCGGAGTTATTAATGAAAAGCAATTTTCTCATCGAATTTTAGCCAATTCTATCGTTCAATGTTTCTGCAATAAGGAAAACTTAAGTTTCCCCTATATTAACAATATAAAATAACCCAAATTTCGTTAATTTCAATGTGTTATTACGAAAAAACACGGTCCGTGATCCCCAGTTTTTATATTGAAATTTGAAATTACATTGACCCAGAAGTCTTTTACAGAAGTTTAAGAAAAATGTATCGTCCAACATTTAGACACCCCAGCTACCTTAAATGATGTAGATGTAAGCAATTATTATAGGCAACCATACGGCCTTCAACAATGAGAAAAATCCATATCGTATAGTCGGTTATAAAAAGCCCCGACATTGTAGACCTTATTTTCTTCACCCCTACCCCTTCTTCCCCTACCTTATACTACTGCTGAATGATACACAAAAGCACAACAAAAGAAAACATATTTCGGTATCCCTTCGAAATTGGAATTCGATAAAGAAAAATAACACGTTCTATTTTTATCATACATGTGTAGTTTCAGTTTCAACCATGGTTCTAAATTTAGATTTTACTTTCCCCAAAAATTGCGGACGGAATGGAATAGAAGACACCTGTTTATTTTCTGCACCTTGAAAACTGAGATTTGGATGACATATATTTTACTTATTCTGAGATAAATGTAATAGTGCTCAATTCTTAGTTTCTGAGTGTGTAATGTTTTGTGGACGAAATCTGATGGGTTTTTTTTTTTTGCTGTTGGCTTTTTCTTCGCCTTCGGCTTATAAATGTTCATTATGTTGTACTAGTTGTCGATTACCCCTTAGTATCTTTTATACTTTTTACATAAATAATAAAATATAAAACATCATAAAATTTTCAATTGCATAAAAACGGACATGCCAACGCCTTTCTTGTTCAACACACAAATTCACATGCAATATAATTATTCGTTACCTACAATTTTACGCTACACTGTGAATTTCATTCAAAACTATGGTTTTTCTAAAAATATTATAGGGTCAATTCTGGTTTGATTTTAATGAATTTGATACGAATAGAAGCAGAATTGTCACTGGTTTATTTGTTTATTTGGTTATAATTTTGTTGTTTATGCGTTTTTACCTTCTGTTGAAAAAAACACGAGTCGTATTGTGTACCTGCTCCTGCGTGTCTGAAACAAAAACAGTGGTAATAAAGTCAGACTAACTTACAATAGGATACTCAGATTTCTGATTGGAGTCATTCTAATAATTTCTTTGAAGTTTTGAGAAAGCACATGAATACTTGTTTGGATTCATGATAGACCGCACGAAGTCATTTTTCTTTCATGTGCCCATTTTTCCTTTCTTGAGAGTAGGGGAGATAACCCGCGTAACTAACGACGCACGTTTTTTATCCTAAATTCCGCTAGAGGCGTGCAATTACGTACACTTCGCCTTAATTAATTATCGCCCTATTTCTCTTTTGAATATTGACATGAAACTTTTTTGTACCCTCTAGCACAACCATTGAAAAAGATAATACCAAAGCTTAATAAAGAAGACCAGACTGGATATGTAGAGAATAGATTTATTGGTTTATACCTTAGACGGATACAAGATATTATTGATTTCACTGATTTATACAAAATAGAAGGGGCTATAGTGTTTGTAGATTTTTCTAAAGTGTTTGACTCTTTAGAATGGAATTTTATGTTTTCAGTTTTACAACATTTTGGATTTAATGATTCTTTTATAAGATGGGTTAAAACTTTGTATAGCAATACGCCAAGGATGTCCTTTGTCTTACTATTTGTTTTAAAAGTTGAAATCATGGCGTCACGATTAAGAAGCAATACCGATTTTAAAGGTATCAAAATCAAACTGGATGGCAAATATCATAGTATAATAATTTCGCAACTAGCAGACAGTACTACTTTATATTGTTGTTCCAAATACGACGTTCAATTAGCCATGAATGAAATTGAAATCTTTGGTTCTTTTTCAGGATTGAAATTAAACAGAAATAAGACAGAAGGGTTATGGGTAGGAAAGCTAAAATCATGTACAGACAAAATTGAGGGAATTAACTGGAGCGACGGACCAGTTAAATCTCTTGACATATCCTTTGGGCACTGTAGAGAGGAATGTGAAAAACTAAATTGGGAAAAAAAATTGAAAAGACGAATAAATTATTTTGTTCTTGGCA